CCCCCCCCCCCCCCCTTTCAAATAATCCTGGATCCGCCCCTGATTAATCTGGTTTTGATAATCTACTGCCATAATCTTAGAGCGCCGTGGTTGATCAGATCGTCGTCTAAAACGGGTTGGATTTTAAAATCATTTGATGGCATATTTTTATAAAGCATCGAGGCTTTATCATAACATACTGTGACATAAAATGCTTGAACTTTATTCTTTATACTTTTAACTTGTGTCTCTTTACTTTACAGGCTTTATATGTAGTTTACAACATATGAACAACGCATTTTGATTTTGATCTCAACTTACTTTTTCTTAAAGCAACAAAGATCGAAACATCAGAAGGTTGTATAAAAAATATTTTGTAACAGTTAGAACCAGATGTATACAAAACACCATATGCAACACTCAACAGAATAAATAAATGAATAAATACATTTGTAAGGGTGGAGTGGGGTGGATCATAAGGTTTAAACCCTCATCACTCTCTCTCATCGTTAACACAATTTCACCCTAAATTTCTTTACAACCATTTGTAGGCTAAACAACCATGACATATTTGCGTCAGAAGGATGTGCATAATTTATCTAGAGTTATATAATTGTGGGACTAGTCAACAGTATATGCCTATATTGCATTTACAATGTGGCATTTTTAACCTCCATAGATTTGATCATGATCCATAATATTATAATATTATAATTATAAAACCCGAATAATAATATAGGCCTTACAATTAATAGATGACAGGCAAAACAAGAACCAAGAAGGATGGGGAAGTAGATTACAATTAAGGTTCTATTAGGGTTTTTAATTAGTCTTATATTTTTGCCGATGAGCGAATGTATCGACGCTTATTATGAAACATATGAGTAGGCCAAAGATAGAGAAAATTTTAGGGGCCTCAACAAAATTGGATTTTTGCTTAAAAATGAAATGAAAAAATAAATGCATAAAAATGCATTGAAAGGGGTTTAATGTTGGAAGACGGACTTCTATTCTTTACGGCGTTTACTTTGAACGTTTTACCAAAAATAAAATGCAAACGTAATGCAATGTGATAACCTGGCCCATCCTATCAGTGCTAAAAGTGCTCTTAACGGTCTCTGATTACTGTCTGATGGGCCTAAGGTTTTCCGTGTTAATTTCAGTTTTTATTGAACGAATGAGGTCCATTGTTTTTATTGGGAAATATAGCACCATGCTTGTCCTTTAAAATAAAGTAAAACGAAATGAGAACGGGAACATCATTCACCACGCACATGCTTGAGAGCGCTTGTGGCTCGCGGGAGGTAGTAGGTATGTTTTTATTTTACTGTACTTTAGTACCGAAAGAGCTCCGATATGTTCATTTCCGGTACAATGGCGAAACTCAAATTCTTTGTTGATACCTCAAAGAATGCGAGTTCTTAAAGTAAGTAGAGGTATATTTGACATGGTTTCAGAGTAATGCACATGTCAAGTATGATTTTTCGAGGGGTTCAAGTGTGAGGTACGTAAATTGAGTCGAACATTTTTAAAATATGGATCAAATTTTGTACACAGTTTGACTCGATCCACCCTGTATCATCGTTTGGTCACATCAGCCACCTGTTATAAGAACTTTGTTAAGTGTTATTGAATGCTAAGAGTTGTTAAATTTGAGCTTAAAATCGAGTGCTTAAATTTTTCTATGTATCCAGTTCAGGGGAAACAAAACAGTAACAAATGACAAACAGTTAGTGTTGATAACACCTCTGAAGCGTGACTTGGTTATAAATTAAAACATAATAAAAAATCTAAAGACACATCTTGGATCGCTTTGCATGTCTCGGATCGCACTTAAAGTTGTAAGCTTGGAATAAAAATTCACGATACAATTCAAGATCATGGGACTTGTGAAGTTATCTTGGCCATTTATGCACTGTACATAAATTTCTTTTATGATATATTTTACAGCATATTCTCATTTCACTTCCTATATAATGAACAGGCAATTTATATGTTATCTGGATGTTATCTGGTTGTCATTATGAATAAGGGCAATTCCATAGTTTTATTTTTACTTTTGCAGGGAGGAGTTTTGACCTAAGACTTAAGTTTTAGAAAAACAAATAAATTAATAAAAGTAAAACTTTCTCATATCATGTTTTTCAGGAAGATAATATATCATGTTTGTGTCATAGCATGTTTAATATATCATAGTAATAGGGGACGTGCCAATTACTTTGGTTTTCATTTTAAGTACTTCAACAATCTGAAAAATCTGTAAAGTGACAGTTAGCTCTTATTTTTAATTATATGCTAAAAGATTATTATGTTAGATATCAGATTTAATTGATACTGTGTCTAATGAATATAATCAAAATCATTTTTATTATATCCTGACACTGTTTCATAGGCTGCATTGTATAATCAATCACCTGTTTTGTTATCTCTGATCCAGATCTAATAGTCAAGTTATGAATCATAAAACTTTTTTTAAAAATGATACTTTTTAAAAATGATACTAAACATTTTATTTTGGTTTTACTTACAAGTTATTAACAAACCACTACCTTATTCAAAATACAATTTTTGAATCTTATCTTTACTGTAAAAATAATTTTAAGTTGCCGATTTGCATGATGATCTCAATTTAGTATCAAGATGGTCAGTCTATGGAACAAATGGTTTACATCACCATAATTGTATAACTTAATGGGACTATAAATGTTTCCAAGAGGTATGTAAGGCTATTTAGGTTTTTATAGCAATGCATTTATACAATGGGCCATTGTTATAAAGACTTAAATATTTCTCTATTAAAAAAAGGATACTTAAGCCTTAACACATTCTCTGAAGAATACAGGTTTTTACAGCGTTTTTAATTCATTCCCACCAGAACACCTTTTCTTCTTTTTGAAAAATTGGTCATCTTATTCTATGAAAATACAAATCGGCATCAGAAGTTTGCACCCCACTATTACTTTCATGAACTGCATTGCAAAAAAGTTACATTGGAGAATAAAAGATCTAAATATTGGAGAGGAGTTATTGTGTAATGGCTTTTTTGTAAAACTAGGTCAGTTCCTCTCAGGTCATTGTGCATCCTACTGTAGCTCCAATATTTCGGAATCAAATGTCATCGTAAATGGTGATGCATAGTGCTTATTTTGGGTCACTCACTTATAATGTGACTCAAATAACTTAATATCTACAACTGGAACAGTATAAAATATCTTTAGCCGAATAGTATGGTAGTATATAGCTAATTTAAAACCAGAAAGTTGAATTTGATCAATTATAAACTTGGCAAAAATTAAAAAAAGATGGTAAGATTTTCACAATTAAATCAGATTAAAATTTGTTAAGAACTACCCAGGCTAAAATTTACTATGCTACAGTGTACAATTCTTAAAAGTCGTAGAAATATTTTGCCAGGAGGGTAAAATTCCTGTGATATGTGTTATAAACATCAGTTTGACCAGGTCATCCCACTTATATTGGTTATAAGATAAGCTAAGAAACCTAACTTGTTGGTCAACATAAGAATAGTGTATCAGCACTACTGAACGGGTTTTATTTACACTGACATTTGTTATCTCAATTGCTATTGCTTTATCTCTAACAACAATAAATAGTTAATGATTTGGTAAACCTCATTTTGCCTGTGATATGGTAAGTATGTTGTGAGTGCACATGGTTATCAGACTTTCCTAGACAATGCATCACATATTTTGCTACAAATGATAATGTGGCTTGACTTGTTTGGATAAGAATTTTAGATTGTGATTAAGATCACTAAAGGTGATTTTGATTTTAACTGTAATAAATATAGGTACTACAGGATAAAATCTGCAGTCTACTTGATATATTCAGTTAATCAGTCACATTTTGCAGTTTACCTTTCACAAATCTGACTTAAGTCAATAAAAGATTATATGTGTTCGATATAGAGGACAGGCACCAATTCATATGTAGATAGGTTTACAGTTTAACACAAACACTTGTGTATCAGTTTGTCTTCTAAATTAACCTCATATGTATGATTTCAGTTAATGGAGGAAAATGGAAGGTAGCTACTTCCATGTAATATACAACTTTGACACAACAGAGAGGGGAGAGATTTCCCTTAGGCCAGGGGACATAGTTAAAGTGATACAGAAAGTTGATGACAACTGGCTGAGAGGAGAGATTGGTGACAGGCAGGGCAATTTTCCATCCAGCTTTGTAGAACCTGTCACCATCCCACAGTGCAATGATGGCCAGAAAGTGTTTGCTGCAGTGGAGAACTTTGCTGCAGAGACAGGAGGGGATTTGCCTCTGGAAAGAGGTGGGGTTGTTGTTCAATAAATTTTATTAGAAAAAAGATGACTGGTTTCTGAAAATATTGGTTTGTTTGTGAAACCTGACATATGTTATAACTGTAAAAAGTTTTGGTAGAAAGTTGGAAGTCATTTGAATTTCATTACTGTTTACTGTATAGATGTGATTAGGAGTTTGTAGCAGCATACCTTTTGTTGTACTAAGATTTCTCATCTTTCACCAAAATCATTGAAAAAGTAGGTTATCTCTAGCAAGTGTGAAAACATACGCAAAAAAAACCCTTGTTATTCATATGTAAATAATAAGGAACATTTTAATGCCTTTTTTAATGATGAAAAGAAAGGGTCATTAAAGGGTTACTGTAGTCACACAAGCCACAGACACTTCATATTGAAATAACTCCACTTAATTTAAACAGGCCTGTATAAAGTACATACTGTATTTATAAATAGACTGTGTACAGAGAGTTTAAAAAGATGTTATTTTCAAACCTACAGCAATTTTTGTGCAGTCACATTTTTACATGCCTTTGGCTTTACCAAAATAGTTACATGACAGTAATCACCTTCATACCTTTGTTAGTAATGATATGTAAATGCTAACCCAGCACATTACTGTGCATGTTTCAGTTTAGTTTATGACTCTCTGCATGAATATAATGTTTTATATTATTATAATTATGACATTTTCTCTTTTTTCCTCAGGTGACATAATCTTAGGTCTGAGACAAATAGACAGTAATTGGTGGGAGGGCCAGGTCAAAAACTTGACTGGAATCTTCCCTCTGACACATGTTAGACTTTTAGATATAAGACCAACTCTCCGACGAAAATCAACAGGTGCTCCACCTGATGGGGAAACAGGAAAGGATTTAATTGGAAAAGCCAAAGCTCTTATGGACCTTACAGCTCAAATAGACGATGAATTGAGTTTTCAGACTGGTGACATCATAAATATCACAAAAATTTTAGATGAGGATTTTTGTATGGGAGAATGCAATGGTGATGTGGGGATGTTTCCATTAGCCTTTGTGGAGGTGATTGAAAAATATGGAAGTGCTTTGGATTCCCTTCCTGTGGAAGAAAAATCTTACGTTCCAAGATGTGGTCAAAATAGGACAGCATCTTTTACCAGCGAAAATACAAAATCCCACGACACAAGCATAACAGCTTATGCAAAAACGCTATACCCTTTCAAAGCTGAGAGAAAAAATGAGTTGACATTTAAAGAAAATGAGATTGTAGAATTACTTCAACATGTGGATGAGGACTGGATAGAAGGGGTGATAGATAATAACATTGGGGTTTTTCCAGCCAGTTATGTGGAGATTATAGTGGATTGTCCATGGGCAGCTGAATCTTACCAAAGCACTGTATCTAAAACTGACAAGGCAGAGGTTGTGGTTTCTTCCTCGCAGCCAGCCACTGACATCAATGACAATACATCAAAAGGCAATTTTGAGCCAGTAACCCCAGTTGGAAGTGTACCTAAATACACACCCCCAACTGAACATGTACCTGAATATACGGCCCAAACTGAAAAGGAACCTGAAATTACATGGTCGGTCAAAAATGCGCCTGTAAATGATTCTTCTTCTGGAAGTGTGCCTTCGTCTGTAAGTTTGCCTTCATCTGGGAGTGTACCCTCTTCAACAGACAACCCTGAACATCATGAGGATGTCTATGGATTAGTCAAGTATGATTTCAAAGCAGAGTCAGAAAATGACCTCGATTTACGGGAAGGGGACACAGTGACAGTGCTACGGAAAGTGGATGGGAATTGGTTTGAGGCTAGACATGATAATGGTCACACGGGCTTTTGCCCCATCAACTTTATAGAACTTATTGGCCCTGAACCTGAGTGGCTATCAAACTCAGGGATTCAGTCAGCACCTATTTCTAATGGTTTTAAAGTAGAGAATGATACAAAGACAAATATTTCTGGCCAATCTCAAGAGAAAGTTGAAGCTCCTTTGTCCAAAAAGCCTCCGATAAAAACCAAACCAGAAATCTTGAGGCCCAAGCCTGTCCTTGCACCAAAGCCTTTCTTGAAATCAACTGTGACCTCTGTTCGCTCAGTGACCCCACCTCAAAAAGTATTTGAATCAAAAGACATAGCCATAGACTCAAGTTTAGATGACATTGTTAAAAATCAAATGAAAAAAGCCAAAGATGAAGTGGAGTCAAGGTCAAGAAGCAGCAGCTCTCTCAGTAACACAAGCAACCATTCTAGAGATTCAGCAGGATCAGGGGAATACACCACAAATGGATTAACTAGTAACATTCAATCTGCCTCTGTGGCTCAGCAGAGTAGTGACTTAGAAAATGAAACGCTTAATCAGCAGAGAAAAGCATCTGTGAAGAGAGGCCCCCCGCCGAGACCTACTGGTCCACGACTTGCTGCTGCTCCATCTAGGCAGCCATTAGAGCCACTGCGGATAGAAGGAAATGTAAGGACTGTCCCCGCCCGACCTGCTCCCTTGAGACCTTCAACATCGCCAGTTAAACTCACAGCCCCTCCTTTACAGGCCCCACCTCGACCTCAGCCCCCTCAAACAATCACCCCTAAGTCCCCTCCAAAGAGACCACAACAGCCAGTGGTCAACTCTGCTCTGGATGATTTGACTGACTTTATAGGATTCAGTCCAAATACTTCAATAACAGGTGTGTTTGTGTTAATTTGTATGCTGTTTATAATTTTGTTAATTTATTACTTAGTTCTTTTTAGAATTAAAAATAAATTATGGTTTATTTTTTAAAAGTACTTTTGATACATAATACTTTTTGAAAATTTTTATTATGAAACTAGAGAGATTTGAATATTTTCTGTATTTATAACTTAGACGCCTATTTTTATTTCAGTTTTTTTTTCTGTTTGACAAAAGGTAGAATAGAATTATTGTTTGGTATGTTCTACAGATGTAGGTGACCATGATGAGGATGACAAGGAAGCACTGGTGGCAGATTTGCAAAGCAGAATGGCAGAGATACAGAAAGATATTGAGGTAGGAAACATCAACATGACTTTAGAAATCTCTCTTGTTCCAATTTAATAAAACTTGTGTAGAAAATATACAAATTAACTTACAAACAGTTTGCTGTAGGTAAATTCACATTACTGGAACTCATCATAAAGTGGTGATAATTTATAAGGTAGGATTATTAGAAGTGTGACATTGTTATATAGATTTGTCTATTTCATAACTGAAATTGTTCATTTATTTATTTATTTATTTATTTATTTATTTATTTATTTATTTATTTCAAGAAAAAGCGTTGAGTATTTTTTCCTCTTTTTCAGCAATATACCAAAACAAAGAAAGAACTGCAGCAGAAGTACAGGGCAGCCCAGACAGACCTGGAGAGGCCTGCCATTGAGGAGGACATTGAGGACTGTAATGCCAACATCAGAGGACTCACAGCTGAGGTCAACTCTCTCAGAGGTAGGTCTGAGGACATATCTTTTAAATGTGAACCTGAATTCTGACTATACTGATGTTAAAAGAAAGAATTTAAAACTAAATTCCAGTTCACTGTGAGCTGCATCATATGTTTAGTTTTTGAAATATTAAAAATCTATGTTACCATCATGTGTATTCTGTTTACTGAAATAGTCAGAGGGAGCATATACTGGGTAAAGAGCCATCATCAATTTCCTGAAACACATTTTCATCCTGCTGTTTTGAAAATACTGAGAGTTAGAACTGTTAAGGGCATAGTATGTAAATAAAACCTGTTTTATGACATGTAACATGCAAATAGTCAGTTAAGGTCAGCATTCCAATGAAACTGGTTATGCACTGGCCTCACAAGGTCTTTTTGGTCGTAGTGTAAAAAAAAACTTGCCTTTTTATTGCTTTCAATAAATATAACTAATGAAATGAAGCACCTGGAATTAGTTTATCTTCATTTAGTTAGTTCATTCACATAGTAAAGACGAAGTGTTAAAGGCGTGCTGAGACTGCCAAGGTCAGTTTGTTCTTGAAAATGTATTTGGTATTTGGAACCACAATATGCAAGTCAACTGTGATGTTTTCCAAGATGGCAGGTGAAACACATAAACTGTTGAGGCCAAGGTCAGTTCAGGCCATGGTATGAAAATGAGGTCTGTATTTTTCAAATGTCAAGTTGATAAATGAAACATATTCATTTGAGGTGATGCATTCTTATTGTAAGAATGAGACTGTGTTACCATTTGTCAAGCATAAAAAATGAGTATTGTCTGTTATAGTTGACATGTACAAGAGTTGGCCTGTCTGATAATGTTTTTTTTTTTATTTCATGTAAACTTCAAAACACTTGTGACTGTTAGAATGACACTGCCAGTATCTATTCACCTAGTGGATGTTGAATACTACAGATCTGTAGGGATAAGTTGCTTGGGGTTGTTGTACTTAAAATGATTGTATTGGTCACAACTGTCACATTGCTGGTCTAGTGCCTGTCAGTGTGCGTGTACTGTGTCATACTTACCAAACAAGGTTTGTTGTAATGTGAAAATACTAAAGTTTCTATTTTTTTTTTTTTTTGACACTCTCGGTCTATGTTGTGAATATATGGAATGTCTGCATGATTGCTGAATTATGTTCAATATAGTATAGATATCCCATACCATACTGAAGAAAAATAGTACATTTATAAACATGGATTTAAGTTGGTATTATTGACTAAGTTTGGCAATATAAGATTTCAAGTAGATAACGGCAAGTAGATAACACATGTCAAGTATTATTTGGTAGTCAACCTATACTATATATAACATATTAATTTTATAGTCTTGCCCTTCTCAAGGTAACAACATTGTATGGTTGACGGTTTAATTGAGCACATTTTGACTGATATGACTGGAGTTCACAGTAGTAGCCATTACATAACAATTGATATTTTGACAGCCTCCCTCCTCCCCTCCCCACAATATTTATGACACTCACATGACTTCATTACATATCTGATCATAATAACACAGTCAGATGACTTAACATGCTGTAACTTGATGTATCTATTGTTACCAGATTTTGATGAAATTAAAAACTTAATACCCCCAAAATGGTCACAGTTTCCACATGAAATGGCACACTTACCTTTTGTGGTATATAATGCTGCTGTACAGTAATTGAGTCCACCTCATTTCTTACGTGAACATCACATACTTTTTGTTTGAGGGTGGATTATCAAGAAAGCCAACAACAGGGGTATTATCTTTTATCAATTGCCCCACTTACAGATGCAGTGAACATGATCTGTATATGAAATGATTCTGAGACACTGGTGTTCCTATTTGCATAGACTTGGCATGTTAGGTCATCATCTTCATTTATCAACTGCTGGAAGATGGAGGGTTATTAATAAGCAATAGCAACAGCAACCATAGTAACCAAAGCATGGTGAGATTAAACTACCAATGAGTCCACTGAAAATGTACCTAAAGATAAATTCACCATATTTTCAACAAAAAAATTATTATTATTATTATTTTTATTTATTTCTTTTTTTTTCTTTTTTTTTTTTGGGGGGGGGGGGTCTTGATTGTGCAAAGTGGTTAAAAGGATAATAACTCTTCGTATCGGCCAAAAAATGAATTTTCTTGGAGTAAACGACAATTTTCCCATACTTACCAATGGTTAATGAATCCATTTTCACATTCAAATTTTTTTCATTCTGTTTTTTTTTCTAAAAAGTGTAGTTTTTTGTTAAAATCTCTTAAGAGATTTTAACAGAGTATAGCCATCAATGGAGGTAACATGGTCTAAAGACAAGCTCAGATATCAGAATAATAGCTATAACTCCTGTTTTTGTGGTAAAACAGAATATTTTTTATTTCTATGAGTTATTCACAATGTTTTTATTGTGAAATATAGATATCATACAAAGAGTTATTATCCCTTTAAGCATACATGATTTCAGTAAAAAATACAAGAAGAATAAGCTATTATATCCCACATATTTGACTCCAGGACAGTTCAATAGATTACGATGGAGTGTATATAGGAAGATAATTAAGTCCTAATGTGATTTTCCAGTTTCCTTGAATAGTTCATTTGAAGTAATTTGGTGGGGTTAACTATAGTTCCACCCTATCAAGAATTGGCTCAATCATATGTGCGGGCCAAGGTAGAATACTAATAGATTTTCACAGTGGGATTTGCTCCATGATTTTCTTTAGATTATAGAGTTATTCAATCAGTCTATATATACATACAGTTGCTCATCTGTTATTGATAAAAGTAGGGTGAAAAATCACCAGACTTTGAGTCTTAATTAATGATTTACTGGGAATACGTATCACAGCACCACTATATATTGCTGATATAGTAAAGGTTCTGTCACTCCATGGCAATTTATTCAACATGTGACAACCTGCAAAAACTGGTAGATATGCTGGCGTATGTCAAATAAGTTGTAGGTAAGTTTTGTTGTAAATGTACTCAGAAGCAGGCTTGTATGTGCCAGCATATGACTTGTGTGCTCTGCACATAAATGCAGGCTGTAGGTTGTAGGTATGTAATGTAATCATTGATAATAGTTTATGCAAATTACTTGTAAGTCACCCATAAGTTGAAAACCTCGAGAAAACATAGCCCAAACCTATTTCAAACCTATGAATAAAATGCTTTGAACCATTGTCAGAATCATCTTTAAGACATTGCTATTTGTACACAAAGTTATCAAAACAATCTTTATGATACTTAACATTTTGTCCAACTTGTTAAGAATATGCTAGATATAAACCCAAAAATTTGAAAAAAAAAAAGACAAAAAGTTCAACATATGCCAACATTTTACAAAAAGAAAAAAAATGATAAGTCATTAACAGCATACTCTGGTTAAGTCATCAAGGTATTGTGACAGTACAGTACTGACAGACAGTTGACAGTACTGGTGTAATATAGCCTAATTGACAGGATGACAGTGGCAGTGGTATGCATGCTGTGTCCACACTGTTGAAGTGGACAGTTGATGGCCATTTGATAGTAGACTGCATAAGAAAGGAGAGATATGAATGGGGTGGATGATAAGGGGAACATGCTGCTGAATTTCCTGTATTATAAGTGCTTTTAAAAAAGAGCGTCAACTGCTTTGAAGATATCTCACTTAAGACTGTCTGGAAAGATGTCTCATATTGGACTGCTGTCATGGCGTTGCTATGTGGACATAGTTTCACTGGATGTGTTATATTCTGCAGGGTGGATTAACATCAAGGCATTGTGATTCACTATGCAAATGTGTCCCAGTCAGGTGTTGATATGGGAGTGTTGGGTGCATTACTTGGACTCTAAGCAAATTCTTAACACCACTGATTCCATAATGTATCATGAGAGAAAAAAAATTCCAGATGAAGAATTTGAATGTGGTTATATGTGGTAATGTTATCATGAGGCTGACCTACTAAAACTGAAAACAAGCCAATGATGTTGATATATCTTTAATCAGTGTTGTGTGTTAACAGGTTGTACTGTTTAGAAATGGCAACTGGTATATGGAAAATGTAGCCCTGAAGGAAGTTGAGCAAATTTTTAGGTTTTTATTGTTATGATATGCTGTGACATCAGTAAGATGAAGAGGAAAACAGTTCAACAGTCAAGTTCCCACATTTTTTTCATAGAAAAATAGCACCAATATTTATAAATACATTTCATTACAAGGAAAACAGAATTTATTGTGAAGATTTTTCTCCTGAGAGCAATGAGCACAGCAGTGTGGTATAGTAGTAGTGAAGATGATAATGGTGAGTAGTAAGAAAATAAAATTACCGAAGTATGTGTGTGAATATCTCATTGGAAGGATTTAAAATACATTAAAGGGGCCATACAAATCTGTAAGTGCAGGAATGCCAGTGTTGCAGTTATAATCATGAATAAAAGTAAATACACCTGTAGAGTACAAGTCAGTTATTTGGCTAGCTTCCACTGGTAACTTTTTCAAGTGCCAGTCAGTATAGAAGCTTATATGTACTCCCTCAGTCTGCTCTCTCTTATCAGTTTTGGCGATTTGAGTTTCTTTCTATACAATCTGAACTTGTGCTCACAAAGTCTTAAGTCAAATACTAAACATTTTGTAATTTGACTAAAGAAAATGCAAAATCTTTTACTATTTTATTTTTATTTGCAATATTTATCTTTGATCTGGCTCAGCATATTGGTTTGACGGAAATTTTGGTTTGGCTGCTAGAAATTTTATCTTAAACCTAGCTATGACAAGGATGTAAATATACCTTATCTAGATTACAAGGGTAACATGGGCTCTAGTATTGCTTATTAAAGTGTGGTGGTCATTAAGTTGTCTACACTGCCAGCTAACATGGGGTGCTAGTGATGAGCTTGTAATTTAATTTACTTAATTTGGAAGGAAAAATCCTATAAGCAGGATGTGTAGTTTGTTAAAAGTGACAGTTAAAGTCACCCATCAAGGATGTTCAGGTGTCTTAAGGCTAGTAGTTATGTGTAAAGGGGTGCAAGTTAACTAGTTTATTTTGGCAATTTTTCCAGGAATATGATAAAAAAAATATGCATTCAGATGTATAGGAAATAAACATTGACTGGTTTAGGTGTAAGTGACATTAGTAGACTGACCAAATTAATGAAAATCTCACTTAACTTGGCTCAAATCAAGCACTGAGAGATAATTCTACCTATATATTAACTTTTGATAACAAAAATAGCAAATTCATTTGTGTGAAGTTTTGTGGATAAAGTCTTTTGTAAACTTACAGTTGGTAAGACAACTTAATTGGTGGTTGCCTTGTTTTGTCATTAAGACCTGAACCAGTTCAGGTTAACACACTTATACAGGTAAAATAAAGATTGCTTCAGTTCTCAGAACACATTCAGGACTGTGTTGTATTTTAAGATGGTTTCATGTACAAAGTTTTCACCCAGTAAGTCTATTTTTGCAATAGATGTTTTCAACTGTTCATCAGGGCAAGTGTTATTTAAATCCTCACATCACTCTTGATAGTGTCTTTCAATATTGAGTGTGAAATGCCCTTTATATTTTAATTCTACTTTCTATTTTTATGTGCCTATTTACAGTTTTAGATTTTCCAGGAAGATGAGAATTTAGCATAGCTCTTCCAGTTTATATATTTCACTACACCTGTACTGCACATGTTGGCATCACATCAGATGTTACGATGTTTAGTTGATTTTCGCAAAAATACCTATATTTCAGAGATATCATATATTTTTAAAAACTTTGACCCTTTTTTAGGGGCAAAATGTTATGCTGCTGCTGATGTTTTAAACAAGATGTTTAATCTGGATAATTTTGCTTTTGTAGAAAACATCCAGCGTCTTCACCCAGACTGGGTTGACCCAGCTCTGGAAGCACAGAGGATGGAAGAAGAAGAGCAGAGAAGGAAGGAGGAGGAGAGGAGGTTATATGAAGAAAATAAACAGAAAATGAAAGAAAAAAGATGCAATGTTATCCAAGAACTTTTACAGACAGAGAAGGCATATTTGAAAGACCTCCAGCTGTGTGTAGAGGCATTTCTCAGTCCTGCCTCAGAAAAGGTAGAATGATGATCATACTTTCCATGCAAAACTAATTTCTTAAAGAAAGAAAAGGATTTTTTGTTTTGTTTTATTGTATTCTGGCATCAAACAGTCACTGGGCAATGAATGAGATCCATTTTTAATAAGTTCCAAATTAGCTGTGATTAAAACAGAAGGATAGATTTTAGCAATTTGTCTATATAATATATGTAATGGCTACGGCCTTTTATAAAGTCAAATATTATAAGCGACAGTGTATTAAACCAAAATTCTTTACCTTCTGCGCAGATGAAGGATGTTGACATGGAAACATTATTTGGGAACATAGAAGAAGTAGCGAATCTCTCCCAGAGAATGCTGAGTCAGCTGGAGAGAGCTGTGAATGGCAAAGAGTTCTATGAGCAAGTTTTAGGTATGCATTCCATGAATTAGCATATGTGTGGGTGGGTGCATGCATTCATGTGGGTTGGTTTTTTTTAAGTTACAAGAATTCTAGTTTTGATATGCAAATTTTATTCAGTGTTATTTTCAGAAACTAGTTTTTTCCTAGAAAGAGGGAAGGGGAGCTTGCTTTACTGTGGGGTCAATGTTTGACTTGACATTGCTTATTTCTTATCCATGTTTCAGAAGACAAAAAATTTCGAGAAAGACTATTTACAGATATATTGTGCATGTTGTCATTTACTTAATTCTGAGATGTCTTATTTTCATCTTCTTATTTTAGGGAACTGTTTTGTCCAAATAGCAGAAGACATGAAGCATGTGTATGCTTTGTATTGCAGGAACCATGATGATGTGCTTGCTCTCTTAGAAAAGGTGATGATGATTTAATATACATTTACATTTCAAACATTGAGCTGTTGTCATACTTGTTTATATCCGGTGTAATGTAAGTGATGTATAAACTTAACCAATGTCTTTCAGACAGATTTTAGTCTCACCAAGTAGGAAACTGAAATTAGTTGGTATGTCTGCATACTCATTTACTTACTTAGTTTTCTATGTTAATTTTTTTTTAATTTTCCGATTAAACTGAGTAGAGATTGGGATTTAAATTGAGCAGGTTTAAAAATGCACTTTTATGACTGTGTGTGTGTATATATATATATATATATATATATATATATATATGTTGTTTTTGCTATTTGTATGATTTTCATTCATTTTTCAGTGTGAGTCACAGCAAGATATTCAGGATTACTTCAACCGTGGCTTGGAGAAAGTCCGTCAGCATACCACTGTGTTTGACTTGGGCTCTTTACTGATCAAACCTGTTCAGAGAATACTCAAATATCCTCTACTGCTCAATGAACTTTTAAAGGTACATAAACATTGTTGAACTACTCAGCTGAGGTTCTGAGGTCATAAAATGAACTCATAAAACCATAAGTTCACAAAATAATCAGTCTAAATGGCTTGTTTTGAATGCGATTTTGCTCATTTTGATTGAATTTCCTTGGCAATTCTTTCTTTATGTAGTATATTTTCCATGCAATCTGTTGCCTTACACCTGTATTATTAAGTAAAGATTGAATTGCATTGTGTTGCATTTAAATGGGGCAAACCACATATATATATATATAATATAAATGCCATATCTTTTGTAAGTACATATTCTTAAATGGTCAAAAATGGAAGATATAAACACAGATTCGGAATATAACTGTGCATAAAGTTAAGAACTTAGGTACATGTGTTACATATTTGTATATCTGTTTATCTGTACATTTTCAGTCCACAGAGGATTCTCACCCAGACAAGTTTCCATTGCTGACTGCTATCAATGCTATGACTGATGTGGCCACAGCTATCAATGAGTACAAGAGGAGGAAAGATTTAGGTATGGTGATTACTCACTGTTTTCAAACATCTTCACTATTCTAATAATACGTATGAGATTATGATTTGAAGTTTCATGTAAATTTGTAATTTAGTTTTGATTAACAGTCAATGATATCAACAAAGTGTGAAAGATTCTCATGTTCATTATTTCATTTTCAGTTTACAAATATAGAAAAGAAGCTGACAGCAAATTAAGCGATAAGATATCAAGACTCTCAATACATTCCATCATGAAAAAATCCAACAGACTTAGCATGAAGTTAACCTCAAATTTGGGACTTAGTTCACAGGTAAGAATGAAGTTAAATGACACAGAAACATTCCCACCAGCCTGAACTTTGACATTTGCTGGCTTTAATAAACTTTGATTGGTTATGGAGTTTGACGACTTCTCTAAATTGTCTTCAAAGTAGTTCAGGTGCTTTTTTAGAAACAATTCTGAAACTACTACCTTGCTTATGCTAATAATTAACACACATTTTGTTTTGCATCTACTTCTGCCTGTTAACTGTTACAGACAAAGGACCAGCAGTTCAATAAAGAAGAGATCAGATTTAGAAACTTAGAAAAGGCCATCAAGCTGTTTGTGAGGAACGTGGGACAGTACATAGACCAGATACAGGTATACGGCAGTTATTGGTTGTAAAGTTAAAGATGATGGCACTGCTTTACTTATTTCGTATTTCTTATTTCTTATTCTTAGACATGTCAAGGCAGTTATTTATTGTGATACGTATAAAAGTGTATTTGCTGAAAATTTGCTTTGTGTTGGTGTCAGTAGATACTGAAGATTAAATATTGGATCTATTATATAATCTACTTTTATATTAGTTAAAGATTGCTATTGATACATTGAGTCTCTATTAAAAAATTTAGTTGTAAACTTAACTTGCCTAAGACTTACATCTAATGGAGATGCAGTATCAAATTTGCACGGGAAAAATAACTACAAAGCAAAAAGTCATCTTAGTATTTTATAGTGAATTGATTGAAGTTTTAGTATGATATATGATTTTCTCAACAGGAAAGTGTGGGTTGTCAGGAAACAATGGCAGAGGACATATCAGATTTGTATGCAGAGAACAACTCATGTCAGGAGGTTCAGCAGTACAGGGCAGCATTCAGGATGCTGGGAGATGAGAGTATATTCACTTTTGTAAGTACTTGCCATATTCTTTTTGATCTTATTTCAATATGACAAGGCACAGAAGTTCAGAATGTTTTGTTTTTGAGTTTTATGTATAGTTACTTTTGCACATTTATGTTATTTTTTTTACATAGGCAAAAGCATGGAAGCATGAAGGGGAAGAGCTGATAAATATTTTGCTTTAGGGTTTCTAGATAGTTCTTGATCAAATAAATTATCATTGTACATGGTGCATTGTGCATGAAGTCTTTAATAAAAATTCACAGTAATATTTATGAACAAAACTGTAATCTGTTATGTATATTTTCTTAGGATAAGTGATGTATAGTCTTTTTTAAGAATTGACAGTAAATTTACTCTTATATTTGTCATCAGAAATCTCATGTTGAGAGGCGAGTGACCATCCCTTTGAACAAACTACTGTCCATGTTCCACGGTCCGCTGAACGTGATACAGAAGAGAGATGACAAGTTACTGGACTACGATAGCTGGGCAGCCAAGGTCAAAAGTACAAAGGATCAGGATAGATTAAAAATGGTGTGTGTAAATAATTCAGTAGTTGGTGCTGAGCAGGTTTAAGATGGACTGTCTAGTTTTGTGTGGCCTGCCCTATAAATCTTTCTTTCTGAAAGCATGTCTGTAGGTTTATTTTCCTTTATGCTATACATTATGTGAAAAGCGTTAATAAATATTGTGATTTGGCTTAAAAAAACATGAAAGGTAACAAACTAAAATGGACTATAACATATTTAATTCAAGAATTTTTAGCTGGATACAAACTGTTTTAAATGCTAACGGAATTTTGATCAAATACTTTGGCTATTAGAAGTTGGCTCACTTCAGGTCGGAAGCTCAGAATTTAGTTCTTTAGAACGTGTCACATGTTTACATAAAATTTTCTCCATTCACTTACAGAGCAAAGACCAACTACAAAAAGCAAAGAACAACTATGAGGCACTGAATGCTCAATTACTGGATGAACTTCCCAAGTTATCCAATATGTCCTTACAGTTGTTCAACGAGTGCATAGGAAGCTTTGTGCAGGCTCACAAAGTCTTCATTGAAGGAACCCTACGTCACATGTATCCACTTATGGAGGTAGGTTATGTACTGGAAAATGCACTGCTCATGAACCCGATATACGTGATTGCATGCATACTGTCATGTATATCAATCGAGGGGCTAGCAAGGAGAAATTGTTTAATCAGCTAGCTGTGTATTATTTGTCATACATACGAATGAAAATTGTCCATGTTTCCCCACCCAAAACCCTAATTTTGAATTAAGTACATTGATGTCACCACACATAGGATGATGTCAAAGAATGAAATTTCCACATTTTCACCAAGATGTTCTGTGGTGGTGGTAAAACCACATGCATGCTTGTTCTAACATTGAGAAACTCTGTCACTTTCTGAAGAAACCAGACTTTTTAGGTTAATTTTCAATTAAACTGCCTAACCCTTATGAAGTATTCAGGAACACATTTGCATATCTCATTGCATATCTCTTTATTCTTATATTATTTTTATTCTCCAACTGTCTTTGCTAATGCTGTAAATTCACATCCTGTATCTTTATGCAATAATAAGTCCTAATTCTAATGCCTTAAGTCCATATAAGGAATCCATATTTGAATTGGGAGATGTATATTAGCACTCATATGATATTGCATGTTGGTCTATATAGTCTGTTGCTTGCTAACCTTCCAGCTTCCCATAATGAATGGCACGGGTGGTGAGAATGTTCTGGGAATGTTCAATCAAGCGCATGTGGAAGTGGTGGATCAGTTGGCAGATCTCAGTTTTGTACCTAAGGGATTCAGCTCAAGAAAAGACAGCAAACCTGATGTGAAACTAAAAAGGCTTCCGTCTGATTCCAAGTTTTATCAAGTAAGCAGACATATTAACACTGCTTCTACTTGGATGGTTACTCATGTCTTTGGCTCCACATTTGCATGGGTGATAATTGGGTGTTATTAATCAAAATTTTGGTTAACTTTGTATTCTGTTTAATACCTTATTTATAGGTGAATGGTTCATTTAAGGTATTCATTTAGAATTGAATATAGCACAAGGAGACTAGAGAAAGCAAAGGCTAATTGATTAACAAAATTAACAGTCTATATTCACCATCACGATAATACCAGAAAATATGGCCCATATTGCTGTACCAGTATTAATCAGTCATATTTCTCCACAAAAGACTTCAGCTGAAGTTAAACCCCCTTTACACTGGACGGCGTCCCTTTTGCGTTCTTTGTGCGACCATGAAACTGGCGTCTCTGTGGTTGAAGAAAGGAGGCACAAGCATTGCTTTGGTTGTAAAATGAATGCTCAATGACTGTCCAGTTCTTAACATGTAGTATTATTTTTGTACTCTCAAACGGGGTCATACTACAGGACACAGATAGGACGCTGTCCAGTGTAAAGAGGTTCTTTACAGTCATGTGATACACTATGCCAAATGTAAGTAACACAAGATCGTGAAATGCAAAGTAGTCTTCTTTATGCCAGGAGTTACCTGCAGTGAGCAGTCAGACAGAGAGTCAGAGGATGTCAGTGAGGCAGCAGTACCCCTCAGATAAACTGTACACCGTGACCCAGACACAGAGCAGCCGAGATGCCATGTCCATCAGCCTGGCCGAGGGAGACATTGTGGGGGTCATCAAGGAACAGGATCCCATGGGGAATAAGGACAAGTGGTTTGTGGATAATGGAGGTAAGTAAATGGTGTGCTGAGCAGAATGTTTTGGAAATGTGGAAAGTGACACTTTTTGAATGTATTCAGCTTGTGGAATCACATGAAGCATACATTCTGTATATCTGTAGAAGGCATTGACAAAAATGAAAAATAAAGGAATAATTTTCAGATTTTTAAAGATTTATAATTGTCTTTTATTATATTGAATAAAGTTTCACAACAAATAGATTCTGATTTTGTTGCAAGTCTGCGTTTCATTGTTCCCCTCTCAATGTTTCAGCCATAAAGGGATTTGTACCAAGCAACAGCCTGGCACCATTTGCGTCTTCCTCCCCTTACCCATCCCCTGAGAGACCCAGGGCCTCCACCCCATCTTTCCCCACAGATCTTATGGAACTGAGTCCAACACAACCCAGTATGAAGAGACAGGAAAGTGAGGACTTCCTTAGTGAACTTGATAAATTCAGTGATATGTATGAACAATATGAAAAAGAGCATGAAGCTCAAGGATATGAAGGATATACAAATCCAACACTATCTGCACAGGTACCTCAGGTATGTTGTAAAGATTTCCAATTAGCATGCTGGTTTTACATTCTATGGAGGTGTTCATATTAATGGCGCAAATATATTAAATGGAATAGTGAAAGAAATGTGTGACATTTCAGCAAAGTGATTGTTCTTTTGCGTTGAGCAGTATAATTTCTGCTATTGGAAACATGATTTGTGGATTGAAGATAGAGATTGGAGATTGGTTTTAAGTTCAGTTGAAACATCATACTACACTGCTACAGTTGTCATATTCAACAGAACACCTCCAATTATTTTCTGTCTGTATAGAATTATTGGAATCAAAGTTGAACTTTGAAGCAAGAAATACCAATGAAATCAGAGAGAGAGAGAGAGATGACCACTCTGCTTCAGAAATAAATCTTGTATGGCTTTTTCATTTCAGTATTACTATGCCCAGTACCAGTTTGAAGCCAGAAACAGCAATGAGATCAGCCTGAGAGAGGGCCAGCCGGTCACAGTGTTACAGAAGTATGATGAACAAGGCAACCCAGACTGGTGGATGGTGGACATTGACGGTGTACAGGGTTACGCCCCTGCTAATTACCTTTATACATCCCAGCCTTCATGATGAAAGCATATGTGCTGGTACAGTGTATATATGCACATGCAAATAAACATAAACATACAAAATTGCATCCTCAAAATGCACAAACATACAGACAGAAAATTATAATTTCTGTAAGCCCTATCATATAGGGCATGAATTGTTTTGCTTTGGATAGTCCAGATTTGTACTGGATTTAACCAGTAGTTCACCAATTAACATGGAATCAAAGATGTGTATGCTTTCATGGCAGATTTAGCTGTGCTGCTCTTTCATCTGCACAAGTTATTGCAGTCAAGTTGCTCTTCTGGTGCCTGAACAAGATTTTGTTTGATGCTGCATGCTCTGAAGCATATCTTTTTTTAATAGGTTTTAGTTTATTCTATGTGCCAGTTTATCCCAGAATTACAATGGATTGTAGAAATTGGAGACTCCAAAAACAAATTTAGGTAGTATCTTTTTTGTTTTTTAAGCTCAGATGAATGAGCAGTGTGTTTTAATTTTTGGCAGACAATGCATGTCCACAGCAGTTTGTGGTACAACTTGAAGAGAATTATATGTCATTTCATGTTTGGAATCATTGTTCAATGGACATGTAGTGTAGGTGACTGCATTTTATTCCTTGATGCATTGTAAAATAAAGTACTTTTTTGCTTACGAATATAGACTGGTCATAAACGAGTACATTTGACTCAGAGATGTACTTCTTTATAAATGTGCTGATAAACACTGAGAGTTTTATTTAAGTATTCTTTCAAAGTTGAGCCTTTTGTGTACCACTTAAAGATCATTTTAACAGAGTTAAAACCGTAACTACGAAGTAAATAATAATAAAATGAACATGTTTAGCATCACTTTCAATTTAAAATTAACTGGTGATAAGGTACAGGAAAGTGTTTACTATCAGCACAATCTTCAGTGGCAAACATACAATTGTGATATTTCAGCGCATGTGATGTAATGCTTCTTGCATTGCTTCATATCATATAATTACATATCTATGCACAGTACACAGTATATTACTTTTTTTTTCTGAACATTGAAGCTGGTATATACATGTATATATATATAAGCAAAACTTACACATTTTACCAAAGTGCATTAAGTTCTTTTTCAGTGTAACCATGGTCTGCAGCAGGGTAGTTTTAATGTTTTACCAGTTGTCTTCAAAAAAAAAGTTTCTGTTTTTATAAAATGCACTTTTCAAGTCACTGATATTGATTTAAAATAAATAGAAATGGATATTTCATAATATTCATAGCCAGATAGCTTACAGATGTAGAGAAATGGTGTAATTCATTTTTATAGGGTGTTAAAAAGCATGCCCTTTTATCAATTTTAATTTATTGTAAACATGTTTTATGATAGCATATTGGCCTTATTGACATAAACATTGCAAGGAAAACTAGTGCCTTTTGTTAGTTCCCATTTGTTGGAGCCGTGGACATCAGGAAATGTTTCAAACATAAAATATTTTAATTTAATATTGTGGCTTGATTAACAAATTTTACTTTGCAAGTTGTTAGTTATCCTTTTCATGTGTTGTATTTGGTGCCCCTGTGAATGTATGATTCTGCCCACCTGATGTATAATATTGCAAGCTCAGATAATGATCCATTTTTTTGGAAATGGATTTGTTATACAACAGAAGTGATAAGAAAGGATGAACTTTTTAGTGTTGTTTTTTTTGCTGCAGTTATCACAGTTATAGAAAGGAGCCAGAATACCATTCATTTATGAATGGAGAAATAAATGTGCATATTTCTCTTATTCTTTTTTATTTATTTTTATGTAAGAGTGTGGGTCAATCTCTTCCCCATTTATCTTTATCTTGCATGGTGGTCTTCTTGCTCTGAGCAATGTAATATACATTATAGAGCAATGTAATATACATTCAGAATAACCAAACAATCTTTTTTATTCAATTACCTTTTATTTTTGAGGCTTGGCAACTTCATAGCACATGGATTTACATTTAGCACTTGACACAGTTGTGAACATCTTCAGTTGTGTACAAAGGCAATGCAATACAATGCAAAAAATGACATGAGTTACATACAAAATGACCTTATGACATATAATATATGTGTATATCAAATAGTGCCCCCATATTTGGAATTGGGAATATTCCATAGAAATTTGTGGGCCAAAAAATTAACATTGTCCGCTTCTGTTAAAAGAAGAAACAGAAAAGGCTGCCCACTGAATGTACAATTCCAGTCTCAAGAAGCTGAGAGGTATAATTATGCAAATGAACAGCGACAATAATATACCCTACTTGCACATACATAATAGGCAAAAAAAATTTACCCTACTTTTTTAACATCAACACTTTTAAGTATAAATAAGCTGAAATTACACACATTCATTCAGACTACGCCAGAATAATTAGTGATCTATATCCATGTAAACTCCTACTTTTCATCTTTCCTACACACTGACGTCGTGATTGTCTTTGTGTAATCAAGTTGCAAGATGAGGTATTAGTCCATAACTTGTCACAAACTTGTATAACACGAGGTCTTTTCACAAAATTTTGTAACTTCCAAAAAATGTAGCTAACTTGCAATTCAAATTTCTTTTAAAATAAGTCCTTTTTTTATGATACATCAAAAATTACAGTTACAGATTTCTGAGAATTCGACCTCAAACAGGTACCCTTCATTCATTAACTATCTCAACAATACACTTTCATCACTTTCACTTTCAAAGACATGTACCAGACAAGTTATTATACTTTACAGTAACAGCTCCATATTATCACTGAAGATAACATATACATTTGTTGAATAGGTTAGTACAATGCAAATTACACTTGGCACCAGTGGAAGAATGAGGCACACAGAAATTAACACTTCTGGATCCACGTGCCGAATGAACCAGACCCGTCAGACGCCAGTAATGTGTCCTCTGGCACCCTAAGCAATGAATTATACTGCACATACCTAATTACACATAGAACAAATGTAAAAGCTATTCCATTCTGGGAACAATTGAGGTTTGAATGTTACAAGGCCATCCATCATCAGTTTGCAGATGAAATGTCAGTCAAGAATAATTTCTACAGATGGGAAGAAAAAATATATTCTCTTTGAAATTCCTCTTTTGCTTTTACAAAGCTTGGATTACACTGGATCCATAACAACTAAGACAACAATCACCATGTAATTTCAATGCTACAAAGATGACTACTTTGTGAACTGTTTACAAGTGCACATAATCGGGATAAGCTACCCCCCGGGTTTCGGAGCCTGTGATGAACCTTCGCTAGACTAGTAAATGCCAACCAACACTATTTGAGAGAAAGTCCATGGTGCACAGATCCAACTCTCAGAACACAATATTCCATTTTTATATGACAATAAAATGCAACAAGTTTGATACATGTAAAAAAATATGAGGAGATGAGCACATAATCCATTCTTCTAAATACAATGTTTGTCCAAATTGAGGATAATTCAAGAGTTATAATAAGGGGTACATAAAATCAATCAATAAAGGTTCTTGCGAAGTAATGAGCAAGTTTTGACAATGAACCTTGTATGTAGAACATTTACAAATGTGTAGATAAGTAAGCACTAAAGCACATGGCAGATAATTCCATGCTGCATAGGTCTGTGATTTGCTGATGAAGATAGCGACTTCATGGCAGTCGCGACAAGCAAGAAGAAAAAAAGTAATTTTTTATATACATTTACATGCATGTTGACAAATAGAAAATGATGTGAAAACTGGAATATTCATGTCCAAATGTGTTACATGAACCACACAAATAAAAGCAGTCCTACAGTAATTTATGTCCAAATCAAATGTTGAAGCAGATTTTTTATTACAAGTACAAATCAACACTTCATTGTTTGAACTGACTATTCGAGCCCAAAAAAATATCCTGATTCACAATTACAAAAATTTTCAAGTTCACATACATACAAATAATTTGTATAAATGTCTGTATTTTAGTTATATTTTCAGTTATCTTTCTTTAAATATGACAAAAAAATTTCCATGTCACAGTAAACAACCAGCCTGTGTCTTTTGCACTAAATTCACTTTTTTTTTCCCAGTGTTAGATATGCAGATCCAGTTGTAATCCTCTACTTCTCAGTCACTTCCACTCTTGAGAAAGATGGCTCCAAACATCCTTAATTTCATATCTTGGATAGCAGAGAAGAACATCCAACAAATAATCAGCAACCATTATCTTGAAGACCCTTTTGATCAGATCTGAATATAAAACTCGTCATGAATTTCAAAATCATCATTGGTCACATTTCCTGAATTCCATCCCCCTCCCTTTTATCAAGAAACTTCTTTCCCCGAATTGGCTGTCCTGTTGTGAGGTTTGCTCTAAACACAAAACTATCCTCCTACACTTCGTTCTCTCCATAGAAAAAGAACCCATGCTGATCTATAATAGTTTGTACAATGTCTTGCAGTGACATAACATTGGATGCCATGTCAGCAAATGAGGCAAATTCTGGCCTTAATAATGTTGGCCACCAACAAATGGCTAAATTTTTACTGTCCATGGAATTGACATCACTCTGTTTTGTGACCCTGGAAAAAAGAAAGAACAAGCACAGATAAGAAACCACTTTTGATTTGAGATGTGATAATTGTTGAATTGCAGATAAAATACATTTCATGTGATCTATGGTTAACTTTGTGGGTTGTTATTCATAAAATTTTCAATTAATTTTTCAAACTATTAAAAAAAACTTAAATTCCTTGCATGTTACCTTCTCTATAATAAACTGCCCAAGTTGTAATGACATAAAATTTCAAAAAAGTACAAATTTGTTTTAAAAAATTAGATTGGGCCAAAATTTGACAATTTTCTAGTCCTTGAAACTGTACCAAGAAATACTTTTTTTAATGGTAGACTCACTTGTGCATATGTGTGGCTAAGTATTTGAGCACTTCATGGTTAACTGCAGGAAGCTTCTTAAGTACCCCTCGAAGAGCTAGCAGCCGACCAGTTTTATCCTGAATTCCTGAAATGACAACACATTTGTATTTACTAAGACTTGTTTTCTACAGTTTATATTACAGTAACATATTGTTTTCAGCTACTAACTAAATTGAATTTGAAAATGCAAAAAATTGGATGTTTTGTTTTGTATCAAAAACATTTTTCAACCAAGCATCTAAATAAAAAATATCAGTTTACCTTGAACTACATAACAAAATCAGCCAAAAAATATTCACTATCTATTTCTGATGCATTCAAGATAAATTTCATTATAAAAAACATTAATGAACAGAAACTATACACAAGCCTAAAACATAAAAGCAGCTAAACTCTAGGATTAGCAATGGGCATTTTTCTTAAATTATATTTATGCCAATTGCACTTAAACTAATCACTAAGAGAGTGAAGGAAATACATTCAAATTAAAAACAGAGATAAAGAAGAGCAATCTATTCAATACAACAGAACGTAAGCCCAATAAACTTTATACATATAACACTGTTACCTTCAACTTCCTTCCAAACTAGCCGCAAATTTGAAACACCAAATTCAATAGGGATAAATAAATGAAAGCTGCTCATTTGCCCTCAGGCTGAATCCAATAACATATAAAATACAAATAATAACTTTTCTAACTTAATTTTTTTCTCTATGATTGTACTTCTGATTATTTTAATGCCTAGATGACACAAAGCTTTATTTAGGGACAAGCACATTTTTTTCTACCATGGTTTTCATCAAACATATAACAATGCTTGGTAATGGGATAAATATTCTACCAAAATGTCAATCAAATCCTTTGTTCAAATGATTCATCACACGCAATTTTTCCACATTAAATTCTCTTTTTTCTCTTTCTCCCATTCTTCTGCTCACCCTAAATCTATGTATATAGCTTAACTTCCACCATGTCATTTTACACTGTACCATTCTTGAATAAGTATAGATGCATTGGTTTAAGGACAAAATCAACTCTTTTCATTTATCACAACTAACCAGAAATGGAGAAAAAGAAAACAAAAAATGATCTCCACCAAAATCCCCCATAAAAATTTGAAAATTCTTGAAAAAATATAAAACTGGAAAATAATCAGGCCCTGGAAAAAAATACAGTTACATGCTATCTTACCAGTGAGAATACCACCTGTAGCCTCATTACCTGAAGTGACTTCAGAGACACGAAAACGCTAAAGTACAAATACCTGTGATCTTAGCTGTCATTATGAAGTGTCTAATATAAAAACTGAGCATATAACCCAACTAATGAAATTTTTTACTATGTTACCTGCTGCATGTATGAGCTCATCATAAAGTTTGCTGGGTATGAGAGGGTCATGGAGATCACTGAAGAAACCTTTCAGAGCCGTGGCCACTGCATTCACGGGAATGTCCAAGGCATTGAGGTCTATATTGGGATCTGGAAATTCATTCACACAGAAAAAAATTATCTCCACCATAATGAAAATCACCCATAAAATTCAAAAATATTATTGCCCAATGAGATGAAACATGTAACATAACAAAACTGATATGCTTTCCATCATTCTATCATCAGCAATCGTCCTCTTTTTTCCCCACAACTAAATTTCTAAGCTTCACAAGGCAGACCTAGACCACCATTCTTGCCCAGAAAACTGCTTGTCAAGTTCAGCAAAATTCACCCTGCTAAAAGTCTTTAGAAGCCAAAACAAATCCCCTTGATGAAAGAAACAGATTGACAAGGTAAAGGGGCACCATAAAAACAAATTTGCACCAAAAATCAACCAGTTAAGAAAAAACACCATGGGATTCTCACCTTCTTTGAACTTTTCAAGCAGTAAATCAACATGGGCTCGGTTCCCGGGCACTCTGTAGATGCCCTCGGCTGTCAAGCCTTCCTCTTCTATCTGCATGATGCATTTCTCTACAAAAACTGGGATGAGGCGTTGTTCTTTTTGCACATAGTCATCTAGAGACATTTTAGTGGTGATCTCACTGCCTGGGGCATTCTTGGGTTTCTTTTTGCTTCTTCTAAAGGACCGCCCAACAGATTTTGATTTTTTCCTCTCCTATGATAGGAAAAAAATTTAATTGTTATGTATATGAAGTGAACCTTTGTAACTAGTAGCATTGCAGTTTCATTTAAGCACTTGAGAAGCATATACACAAAATATTATTTTGAGACATTAATATGAATCCGAGGTCTTAAGATGATCTTACCAAGTTGGTTCAAACAAATATAAAAATATCAAATGCCACTAAAACCATTGCTCAAATAGACATACTACCTCTTCTTTCTTTCTCCGTTTTTCCTCATCCAGCGCTTTCTTCTCTTCCTTCCTCCTCATTTTTTCAGGGTCATCCTGCCTTCTTAGCACCTTCAAGTTGAAGGGTTTCCACCTCCCACTGTCTCCTAGCTCCTCTCTGCAAGGCTCGTCACCAGAGAAAGGAAGCTGTACCAAATTGAAAATCAGCATTTAATAATTTAATCATTTAAAACAAGACAGAAATTATTATGGGGATAGTAGTAGTTAAATTTCATCACAGTATTAGCCCATCCACTTGCCAAACAGTAGTCTGGAAGTCTAACGTAGCTGTTAAAGCAATTAATCAGCTAAGCTTATAAAACTCCTCCAGCCTTACTAGATATATAATTTTTATTCAGTAAGAAATTTTGGTCTGAATATCTGTTCCTTTTTTAAAGAGCAAAAGTTCACTGATTATAATTCAAGATAAAATATAAAATCGTCTTACCTTTGAGTCAGGTTTAACGTCTTCATATGGATTCTCATCTGCCACTGAATCATTCCGTACTGGAATAAAATTTAATTTAAAAGTATAATATGCTGGAAATTTATCAATGGAATGTTACAAGTGCTGTTAAAAATTAGTTTCAGGTCATTCATCAAACCAGTTACGAAAAGAAACCAAATCACATAAAACATAATTAGAGCAGAAACCCAAAATAAAAATTCCACCACTGTAACAGCTAAAGACCTACACATGGGCAACCAGTGGGTAAAGTAAAAATAATATCATGACGCAACAGAAACAGGTCATCATTATACATTTTGAGGTCAGTTTTACACAGGGCACTCCAATTAAAAAAACAACTCAATAAAAACAAAAAAATTAGATCTTCCGAGGAATATCTAAATACCAAATAAATTTCATACATGGGGGCAGGTGAGGGGGGATGGATGAAAAATGCACCCATAGGTGCAGTAAACCCATGGCCAGAAACGTACTAATAACTCTGTATACATTTTTAATAATGGGCTGACAGCAAGGCAATTTGAGGCTACATGATCAGCAATATGATCTCTACAGAAGTACACTGCCAGTGAGTATATGTCTCTAAATCTCTTCATTCACCTATCACCACATCCTATGTCAAGCAAGCACCCAACTTTGGGGTCTACTTACACCAAACATCTTCTGTTGGTGGGCTGCTAGCAAGAAGAGGGACCAAGTCATTACCAGCTTTCTTTTTCTTGATCTTCAGGGATCGTCTCTTCCTTTGTTTTTTACCGTTTTGTAACTCATCTCCTGTGCCCTCACTGCCCTCCGAGGCCGAGTGCTGCACAGCTGCAGGAAGAGAGGAAGCCGCGCTACAAGCTACTGCTAATCAACCAATCAAAATTCTCCACAGAGGATTTCATTGGACCAATGAAAATTGACCAATCATAATTTTATGAGTGTATACCAACTTGTACAATTTTCCTAATGACAAATCCACACGAGGATAAGAATTCACAGATTAGAGAAAGGTCAGCAAACACCACATTTTAGTACAATTTTAAAAACAAAATATTCTAGAAAGTAAAGATTGGTAAATGGGGTTAGTAAACTCTGTGGAGACTACTGAAGATTATTCTACAATTCAAACAAATTTGTAAGATTATTGTATAGCCATTTAGTAAACCCTTCTACTTCACAACCCCTACTATGATTATTTCTTTAATTTCTTTTTAACCCTAAATAAAACCGGAGGTGTAATGACTGTTTTTGACCTTTGATTGTTGTTTTTTTATGTGGGATAATGATTCCCATATGGTATACACTAAGCTATACAATAGATCATACAAAATGATTAAGATAGACACTGCACCAAAGATATCATTCTAATCTGCATTTATACAGTATGACATTTTTATTCAGAGCTGCAGTAAGATCTAATTCAAATCGAATTTTTGATATCATTAAGCTGCACTAGTCTAGTCTTAAATGTTTCTAACTCCCAATTTTCCAAATTGATAATTTCAATCAAATTCATTAAATGAACTAGTAATTAAGTGATAAATTCACACAGAGCAATCTAATAAATCCATTGGTCTGCACTGCAAAATAAATAGATAAATAAATGCACAGCTTAAACTTACATTTTCTGTATTCATCAGGGGGTTTCAGCCTGTCAGGGGTATATGCTGGTATGAGAGGTGCTTTATCATAAGATGGGTCACTCTTCCTCTGCTGCCTGTGTTTCTTTTTATGTGGGGTAGGCTTTCTGTGCACCCTGGTATAGATGTCCTGCTTGGGGCGTTCTAGTGAACTACATTCTGAGTCGGACTCTGTGCCAGCTGAAATTGTTAATAATCTTGATATCAGTATCATAAATATCTCCTAGAGTATTAATTTTTATTAACCTGGACAATGTTTGTCCTCTTTTTTTTTGTTTTAAATAGATTTTTCAATATAAGTTAGGCGTTAAATATATTAAAACAAAATGTACACTGTCAACTGAGAGTGAATGAAAAAAATTAATTCTACACAAACTAATTTTTAAAAAAATGTATAGAAACAAACTAAAAGGGTTCATCTGTTCAGAACCAGTTTAAGCATATAAGTAGTTTTTCTAATAACAAGTAGGGAAATATTATGCTTTCTTAGCTTACAGTCAACATTTATGAAATTTTTCATTAAATATACAGAAATACCCAACTACTAAAATCAAACAACTGTAAGCCATGCCATCTATCTTAGGACAAACCAGGTAACATATACAGACTTGGACTATCAGTGAAATATAGATTTAGAGCACCAATTTTATTGAAAACATTGCTTCTTAGACAAATACATCTGAGGTGGGTTTGGGATTTATTTTCTCAAAAAATACCAATTATGTTATCTCAAGTTTTTATCAAACATGTAAAATGTAGATATTAAGACAGTTCTTAGATGTAATTCTATCAAATCAATCATTCACAGTATTAAGTGCTGCAAATGAAAATTTTCAAAAGCAGTCATCCGTTTTTCTTGGTGACTGACATCTGGGTAGTTAGTCTACACCTAAATGAGCATCAAACCCAAGGCAATCCAGTTATAAATAAGCCTTACAAATTAAGCAACCATACCAACTATGAGCTGCATGCATAAAGGAACTGAAAATGGCGACATACTTAGAGGGACATATTTGACTGTGTCACCTTTGTTATCTTGTTGTTGTTTCTTCACAGTGGACCGTATTCTGTGGAACTTGCCAGGGGGCAGGGCGTCCTGCACCAAGGCGTAGTCGTTGTCGTGCTCTGGGTGTTCTGGGCTCACAGCATCCTGAAGAGATAAGGTGAAACATGTTGTCTTTGTAAATCAAGAACTGTGTCTCTCACTGTGTGTGAGCACCCACCCAACCACATGTTATGTGATTGTTTTATTAACGTAGAGATATAGGGTGCTTTCCCAGAGATTTAGATCAATCTAGAGATTAAGATTTAGATCGACCTAACTCCCTGGGGGTTCACGCTAAATTGCAGTCAGCCGAGCGGGCACCACAGTTAATTACCCCCTTACAGCTTTTAGTAGGTGGGACAGATGCCAAGCTGACAGTAATCTAGTGAGACTCCCCACAGGGATAGATCGATCTAAAAATCTATGGAAATGGGGTGATAGAGTAACTACTCAATATTTTCATTGGGGGAAAACTGTACAGATAATGTATTTTTTAAGTAATCATTTCTGAAAATTATAACATTTCTATTGAGCGGTGCAATAATATTAAAAAGCAGGCTATACTATAGTCCTATTCTATGCAGGAAAAACACCCAAAATGCCACATAGAAATATTTTGTGATTATATAATTATGTATCTGAAGGTTTAATAATTTTTGCCCATTGAAATAATCAAGTAATTGACTGTCCATTTCAACAGCCTACTTACCAGAACCTGTGCATAATCAGCAATCTCGATGTTCTCTGGGGTGGCCAGCGGAGCCTGGATGTTGTTCCCATCCATCTGTACGCTGTCTCTCTTTGGTCTCTTCTGACTCATGTTCTTTGACAACCTGTCTGTGACACTCTGGTACCTGTTCAAATCTAATGGCTGAAAAGAAGAAGAAAAATACTTGGTAGTTAGTCATAAGAATTTCATTCTTTCCCTTTCTCTTTTTTTTCTTGAATAAGTTAATCAAATTCAAACTGGATACTACAAGTTGAAAGCATATCTCTTTATTGTGAATTTTATTCTTTCCCTTTCTCTTTTTTTTTCTTGAATAAGTTAATCAAATTCAAACTGGATACTACAAGTTGAAAGCATATTTCTTTATTGTGAATCTGATAAGAAAAATCATTTTTGTTCTTGTGGCATCCCAACCTATAGAGGTTTGCAGCCAAAAGGTAATAGTGTTACACAATGTTATAGTAACATTATCATATACAACTTATTTCATAACCAATAACCAAGACCAAAACAATCTGATTAATTTCTGTTTCTTCTCATGTTAGTGAACACTCACCTTTGGTTTAGTTGCAGGTTTTGGTCTTAGAGCCCATTTAGTGAGTCGAACCCCTGCATAGTCATACTGGGGTGCCTCAGGTTGGGAGTTCTCCCAGTCTGAAAGAAACAATTGATTTAAGTGCCTTTAACTCTTGTTAACTAGGAAAAATTAGCCAATGTCTCAATAAATGTGGTCTTATGCTTCTATAATAGTGAGTCCCAAAAACTGAAACATTCTTAGCTGATGTTAACTATGTTTCACACAGCAAATAAAAATATCCAGTCATTAACTCAATTGTTGGGTATCTGAGAATAGAAATGCAATATACAACAATCTTTTTTCATAACTTAGATATTTCCACGCAATACACAAGAAATACTGTGACATCAACAACACACATCAGCCTATAACAATCAACCACCATCATTTTTCTGCAAGCAGTATTCAAAATCAGAAAATATGTCCCATCCATACACATTGTATACCTCCGGCATAAACCTTATCTGAATAATTCACATTAGTATTTAAAAACATGCATTAAAACCTACAATCAAAATCCAAACTGCAACACAATACATTGTGCAGGACATGAACCACGAAGAGAGAAACTGTGCAACATATCACAGACTATGTAAGTTAGACAGTGCAGATACTGCAGAGTTAGCATTTTAAACATTCACATATAAGGTGTACACTGTCAACTTCCTTACTTACAATACAGTGTTGATACAGTTGGAAGAAAGTTGGAAAGAGAGAAAAACAGTGTATTAAGGAACATCAGAGAAAGACACTAAACACCAATGTGCAATCCATCCAATCCATCCCAATGGGCAAGAAAACATTCTATAGCTAAATACAGAAGAGAAACCTAGAAATATAATTTCCAACCAAATGAAAATTAACAATAACCTCTACACATCTACTATAACCACCTCAGTCTATCCAAACATGACANACGGTAGCCGTCCGGCGGAGCCGGCGGAGCCGGCGGAGCCGGCGGAACGATCCGGACGGGACCGAAACCATGTGTACCGCCAGCGCTAACGCTGGTGGTACAATAAACCTTACAAATTAAGCAACCATACCAACTATGAGCCGCATGCATAAAGGAACTGAAAATGGCGACATACTTAGAGGGACATATTTGACTGTGTCACCTTTGTTATCTTGTTGTTGTTTCTTCACAGTGGACCGTATTCTGTGGAACTTGCCAGGGGGCAGGGCGTCCTGCACCAAGGCGTAGTCGTTGTCGTGCTCTGGGTGTTCTGGGCTCACTGCGTCCTGAAGAGATAAGGTGAAACATGTTGTCTTCATAAATCAAGAACTCTGTCTCTCACTGTGTGTGAGCACCCACCCAACCAAATATTATGTGATTGTTTTATTAATGTAGAGATATTAGAGTAACTACTCAATATTGTCATTGGGGGAAAACTGTACAGATAATGTATATTTTAAGTAATCATTTCTGAAAATTATAACATTTCTATTGAGCAGAAAACAATATTAAAAAGCAGGCTATACTATAGTTCTATTCTATGCAGTAAAAACATCCGAAATGCCACATAGAAATATTTTGTGATTATATAATTATGTACCTGAAAGTTTAATAATTTTTGCCCATTGAAATAATCAAGTAATTGACTGTCCATTTCAACAGCCTACTTACCAGAACCTGTGCATAATCAGCAATCTCGATGTTCTCTGGGGTGGCCAGTGGAGCCTGGATGTTGTTCCCATCCATCTGTACGCTGTCTCTCTTTGGTCTCTTCTGACTCATGTTCTTTGACAACCTGTCTGTGACACTCTGGTACCTGTTCAAATCTAATGGCTGAAAGAAGAAGAAAAATACTTGGTAGTTGGTCATGAGAATTTCATTCTTTCCCTTTTTCTTTTTTTTTCTTGAATAAGTTAATCAAATTCAAACTGGATACTACAAGTTGAAAGCATATTTCTTTATTGTGAATTTCATTCTTTCCCTTTCTCTTTTTTTTTCTTGAATAAGTTAATCAAATTCAAACTGGATACTACAAGTTGAAAGCATATTTCTTTATTGTGAATCTGATAAGAAAAATCATTTTAGTTCTTGTGGCATCCCAACCTATAGAGGTTTGCAGCCAAAAGGTAATAGTGTTACACAATGTTATAGTAACATTATCATATACAACTTATTTCATAACCAATAACCAAGACCAAACAATCTGATTCATTTCTGTTTCTTCTCATGTTAGTGAACACTCACCTTTGGTTTAGTTGCAGGTTTTGGTCTTAGAGCCCATTTAGTGAGTCGAACCCCTGCATAGTCATACTGGGGTGCCTCAGGTTGGGAGTTCTCCCAGTCTGAAAGAAACAATTGATTTAAGTGCCTTTAACTCTTGTTAACTAGGAAAAATTAGCCAATGTCTCAATAAATGTGGTCTTATGCTTCTATAATAGTGAGTCCCAAAAACTGAAACATTCTTAGCTGATGTTAACTATGTTTCACACAGCAAATAAAAATATCCAGTAATTAACTCAATCGTTGGGTATCTGAGAATAGAAATGCAATTTACAACAATCTTTTTTCATAACTTAGATATTTCCTCGCAATACACTAGAAATACTGTGACATCAACAACACACATCAGCCTATAACAATCAACCACCATCATTTTTCTGCAAGCAGTATTCAAAATCAGAAAATATGTCCCATCCATACACATTGTATACCTCCGGCATAAACCTTATCTGAATAATTCACATTAGTATTTAAAAACATGCATTAAAACCTACAATCAAAATCCAATCTGCAACACAATACATTGTGCAGGGCATGGACCATGAAGAGAGAAACTGTGCAACATATCACAGACTATGTAAGTTAGACAGTGCAGATACTGCAGAGTTAGCATTTTAAACATTCACATATAAGGCGTACACTGTCAACTTCCTTACTTACAATACAGTGTTGATACAGTTGGAAGAAAGTTGGAAAGAGAGAAAAACAGTGTATTAAGGAACATCAGAGAAAGACACTAAACACCAATGTGCAATCCATCCAATCCATCCCAATGGGCAAGAAAACATTCTATAGCTAAATACAGAAGAGAAACCTAGAAATATAATTTCCAACCAAATGAAAATTAACAGGAACCTCTACACATCTACTATAACCACCTCAGTCTATCGAAACATGACGCTATTAAAAGATAGGAGATACAACAAGAGAAAACGTCCAAGTAGAAGAACAGACATGCATGTCATTCCAAAGAGAAAGATTTTTCTAATACAAATACAAACTAGGAATACTCATGCCACTACACATAATTAAGATAATCACCCTCTTCATCTCCTCTTTGTCTCCTAGCATCTGGTAAAGTTGAGGCTTTTTGGAGTTTTCTGCCGTCTGCACTCTCATACAGAGAATTAACTGCCCAACCTGATATGTGAAGAGGAAGGTGTCAAAGTTTTTTTCAAAAAGGTTTTCAATCTCCTCCTCAACAACAACACACAACATTTGGCAATTGCAGTTAAAAATGAAGTGAAACTTGTGCGACACAAAATTCCAATTCTGTGAAACTGTTCTATGTTGAAGTATGATATCCAAAGAAACATAAGAATAACATACAACTGGATGAAATAAAGTTGAAAACACCAGCTTCCGTGACAGAGTTCAGAAAGCCACTAGAGAGTTCAAACATTTACAAACAGTAACTTCCCCCTTCCGACCATGTTCCTAACAATGGTCATCATTAGTTCAACACAAGACCCTTGCAAAACACCATGCATTCATGTGATAATTGACTTCATATGAGATGAAGTTAAACAAAAACTACAATAAATGTCTATGAATACATCTTAATTCTAGCTAATGTACATAAAAAATAACGTGCAAATATGTATATATGGACTTTAAATAAATATAAATGTTTCTATTCACTACATATCGTAACTTTATCATTTATGAACTAGTAAATAGTGGGACAAATTAGGGAGGTGGTGACATAAGGGTGAAGCTTTTACAAATACAACATGTCAATGTTATCCAAATATTCTGTCTTTCCAAACTAAATCACAGACTTAATAAAGTTAAAGATAGACATAAAAGCAGAAAACAGTCATGTAGGTAATCTTTTATGCATGGTCAGATTTTATAAGAAAAAAATATTTTTTTTTAATTAATCACTTTAAAAATCTAATAGTAAACATGCACAAACAAAGAAGAACCTTTTTAAAATTGACAGACAGACTAAATGGAAAGCACTGAGACACAAAATGTGAACATAAAAGAAACTGCTGGCAGTACATGGAAAGCTGAAAAAAGAATTCAAACAAATCAGTGATCAATAAAGAAACAACATAAAATTTCACAAAAATGGAAAACAACAGCAGTAAACAAACATCAGGAGGGAACACCGAGGCTGCCCAAACACAGCGAGATCACCTTCAACATCTTCCTTCAACGCAAGACGCATACTTTTGGATTTGCGGAACTGATAACGAGGCTGGCGCTCAGGGTCAGAGGCTTTTAGGTCTATCTGATCTACTGTAGATGAATGTTCAAGTTTAGGCACGTCAGAAGCTATTGCCTGCAAATTCTCATCTTCACTCTTGGTGACAAAGATGTTAGCCACCGGGCAAGATTTTCTGTGCTCTGAAAATAATTTTTGATAGGAATTCCAGCTCAGGTGCTACAACGCAATGCCCTGTCTAAGTGTAAATTTCATCTATGCATAGTTCCTATGGCTCTAAGCATGTTATTTAAATAACTTTGTACATATTGCAGCTCATGCCATACAGACACAATCTCTTTTTTTAGTCCTCTGCTTGTTAATTATATTTCTGCACTGTTAAGGTGTTGCCCCATATAGAGATCTTAATTAGTTGTTAACTGACAGCTAAGTTCCTCTCATTTGCAGCACTAATCAGGGGCGGATTTAGGCCGTCTTCTGGGTCTTTCGGAAGACGGTCAGATTTTTAAGTTTACATTGACGGGTATCTAAGTTTTTCTGTCGGAAGACGGTCAAAAATGGAGGATGGATTAACAAAGATAATTTGGAAGACTGTCAGAAAATATCTCTGGATCCGCCCCTGCTAATGCTATATCACACATGCACACGCACATACACATAGACATACACATTCTCTTAACTGGAAAACAAAAAAAAAAAAAACATATATGCAGTAATTCAGGTTAAAGATACACAAAATGCATCATTTTTCTCTCATTTTTCTCTTTTTTTTTTTTCACAGCATTTTGGCAAAGCTTGCGCAGGCCATTACAAAAGTCCAGCCAATAATTTCAGATCTCTGATAACTGATCAGACATTTGAAAAAAAAAAGGGTTGGTTTTTTCATTAATCTTTTTTAAATCTATTTTACCTGCATACTGGTTCTTCCTTCCTTTCAACTGACTTGGTTTGACTAAGGGCTCCGCATTCACTTCACTATACGGCCCAGTCTCTGTAGTCCCATAGGGTGATATATTATTCCCATAAGCAGAGTCATATGTTTTATCATACGCTTTGTCGTATGTTTTATCATACACCTTGTCCCCAGCTTTGTCATAATATGGCGGAGAGGTGGAGGAAGCACGCTCCTGCTCACTGTCTGACTGCTGGCCAGCTGCTGGCTGGTCGTAGATTGGCTCCGAATCTTCGGTGCTAAATTAAAGTTCATCATTAATGAACAAATATTTTATACCATTTTTAAAGTAAAAGATATTTAACATATAGACAGGTCTTCAGGCCTCTTCATAATTAATCTCCCATTTATCAACAAACCAAAAAATTATCTTCATAATCTGCTTCAAGCTATCATATTTTGAAGTCTCATGAATACAACTATCCCCTGCTCACTGGCACTTCTCTACATTCAACTCTCTAACCTGTTGCTGCCATTAGGAGCACTGTACGAGTCATTTCTCCATGGCTTTGGCAGGGTAGCGGGGGGTCTCCTGTCCAGGTCTACTAGCCTCTCTGATTCACTGGGCTCAGAGCGCACTGTGTTGTAAGATTCATCTCCAGAGAACACATAACTGGCCTCAATATCAGACTTTCTGTCCCAGACGTCCTTTAAGAATGGGCTGAAAACTGCAGCTGGAAAAAGATGGGATTTCAAAGTTCAAATACACATCTAAAATCACAATGTCCTTTAAAAGTGATAAAAAATCATTAATTCTGTATTTGCTAGACTTTTGCCATGGCAATTTCAAACTAATTACACAAATTTTGAAGACTACAATTCAATTTCACTTGCAAGCAAATCACATCTACCAAATTTAAGGTTAATTTGATTTCCAAACACTGCTTACTTTGTTGTGGGAAATTAAGACTAGTGACCATGAAATGAGCTTTGACTTTGTCTGCTATGGCATTGCCCTCTGTGATGATATTCTGAGAGGAATCATTGGAGAAGAATGCGTTGGCCCCACCACCTTCAGTTACTGCTAAAATCTGGATTGGCACATTTGGAATGCCATCAGTGAAAGCTCTGGAATTAGAAAGAGAAACAGCATTTGCTTAATCAAATTCAATAATGGTGTGGTCTTTTTTTCTGAAGAACCTAAAAGTTGCCTACTGAAACTTTTAACTATATATGAATCATGGGAATTCTTAAAATATACTTATGAAAAAATGTTACCAGATGCTTTATTCGAAAGTAATTCACAAATATTTTATGTCTTTGTCTATTCTTTTCTATTCCACATGTAAACTGATCAAATGCAGTGACAGTTTACTTTGATTTCATATCAACTAGTAATATTTATAAAAAGGAACTTACTTCAAAGTTGACAGGGATGCTTTCCTTTTGGCAGAATACACTAAAATAAACCCATGCACAAATTCATCTTTAAGTAGCGAAGCACCATGGTACGAAGTGACAGTCACTTCCACCTTCCGTTTACACGAGTCCCCAACGTAAGTCTCTATAGTGACCAGCTGGTATTTCTCTTTGTCTGCAGTGACCACACAGTTCTGATGGCCAAGGAATGGGCCGAGAGGAAGTTCTACATTGTACTGGTCACCACACATCATACATAACACTACCCTGGAGACGAGAAAAAATTTACAGAAATGTTTTCGACACAATTATAGTAAATGTATGATTAATTTTGAATGATTCTTTAAAGATGCAGATGATTTATCCCATCTCCCCTTTAAAACTTATAGGGCAGGGAGAAAGGCTCTACTATTTCTGTTGAGCTCTATTTGCCATTTCTGTGGTAGTAACATAGAGGGAGGAAGGGGAGGGGATAATAATTTTATAAAAAGAAAGAAAAACAAAGAAATACCTGATATCTGGTTCTGCACACTCCACTATGCTGTAAGGATTGCCCAGGCCCGGTCTGTCCCTTACACAGTCCATTAACTTATTGAGAGCCTGGTTGATCTGTACTGGGTGGAACTTGTATTTGCACATCTCCTCATTGATCATGTCTTCTGGAATGTCGATGAACGGACAACGCAAACTGGAAAATAAATTACAACAACTTGATTTTCTTCCTCTTCCCTTCCCTTGGGAATAAATACACTGGCTTAAAGAAACCCTGATTTGAGGACATTTTCCCTGCTAACTATTTTAAGTAATTACTCCATGGGTCTCTACTTCTTTTTTAGATTCTTTTTTAAGGAATTTAGGGAAAAATACAAAGCACATTCAACATACTAATAGCAACCATTTCTGTCAGTAATTGAACTGAACTTTGACCTATTTGCAGTACTTTGATGCGTACAAATCTAAGTTGCTTTCATTAAAAGTAAATGAGTGTAGTAAAAAATAAATAATAAAATTAATGAATAAATGAAGTAGGAGAATAACAATATCTGAAGACATATAATCACTTTACCTCTGAGCTAGTTCCTGCCCTTCTTCTCTGAGTAACATTAACCCTTTCTCTGTGTGCCCTGGGTCATAAGCCAGCACTATCACCAGAGGCAGGCCTTGAAATGGAAGTCTCTCCTCACTCTCTAGGTCCAGTAGTAATGTCTTTTCTAGGCTAACTTTGATATAGTCCAAGGTTTCTGAGCTACTGTACACACAAAAGCACCCTGGAAACAGAAAAGGTAGTTTTCTGTGTGAATTTGATAATTAAAAAGGGGGAAGAACTGATAACTCCAGTGCAATTAATTTTGTGTAACCCTTCTTTCCAGAGGCTTAGTAAGTGACTAAAGACTTGATCTCTAAACTGCACTTTATAATTTTGCATCCTACAAGATTCAGTATTGTGTGATTGATGTTTCTTTGGTAATTAAACCATTTTGTCAAAAGGCACCCACACTTATTAGCAGTGTCAGTTATAAATATTACAGAGCCATTCAAATAAGGTTAAGTTTCCTTGACAATTAAGTCAGTTTGTCAAAATATACCATACTGATTAGCAGAGTATTAATAGGCAATCATCCTCACTTCCTTCTTCCCCCTCTGTGCTTAATGAAGTATCAACAGGCAACTTTCTCTCTCTCTCTGGCTACACAGGCATGCACGCACACGCACACACACTCTCTCACACACACACGCATGCATGCGCACACGCTTAGTCCCAAAGCAAGCTTCAACCTTGCTTATATGCTTGAGGGAAAATATTTTCTATACAAACCATGTGGTCTGAAATCTGCTGTAGAGAAGGCATTCTGTGGCAGGGAGACATCGCCATCTATTGGTCTGTAGTCCAGGCTGAACACACAGCCCTCGTAAGCAAACTCGTCATCAATGCACTGTAGCTATATACAGAAAAAAATTGTGATAAGCATACCTCTTCCATCAGCAACACCATATTTATAATAACACAATTATCTCTGAACATAATGTAATAATGCTAAACACCTATCAATTTTTAAAAAAATTTTTGCAAGTGATTACTTTCAATTTTAGTCAATCCACTTTATAAGACTTAACTTTTTTTACAATATATAATCATACATGTTGACTGACATGATGCAGTGACATAATGACAATGGCTTGATACCATGAAGGTTACACCAGCTGACAATCACTTCATATAGACATTATACCAAACTGTGACCTGTAACTTACCCGAATGTCATTAGCCAGCTCATCTGCCAACCCCTCTCTCCCTAGCAACACAAGGTTGAGCCTGTTATCATCTAGGTCTGGGAAAAACTGTGAGCTACTGGTACTGCCAGACTTAGTCCTGTTGACAATATAATAAACTACATTACTTTTTATGATTACTGAAACTTTTATTCTAGTCTTAAGAATGGATTTATGCGTAAGGCATATATTTACTTCTTTGAAAGCTTTTATTTAATAAGATGCCCTTCAAACCCATATGTTTTGACCAAGCAACAGAAGAAGAGTGAAAATGAAATAACTGAAATTAATGAATAAATAAAATGATATTAACTAAAAATCGGTCTATCAAAAACACTTGCCTATGCCTTTTCAAGGTAGCTTCTATACTATTCTCCATACAGTGGTCTCGAAAAGGGCAGCGATCCTTAGAAGGCCACTGGATAAACCCTAGATGGTTCAACAGCATGACCTTCCTCACTTCTTCTAATTTGCCTAATGCCTTGTACCTATATATAGAGGAAAAAGATGATGAATTTACAATTCTTGACATTTTATATCCTCACTGTTCAGGTCATTTAAACCAATGCCTTATTTCATACATAAAGTGAGAAAAACCATCACTGCTGGTATTGCCATTTACAAGATTTTAAAAATTCCCTTTAAACACTGGTCTCTTTCACTACAACTTTGCACCTTTATAATGAAGTTATACAGGTTAATTGACACAATGTTCTGACTTCTACTGTGGTTTGACCTTTATAAAAAGTGGCCTTGATGTAAAGCCTAAAATATACAACCTTCTGCCAATTTAATAAGTGTAATAAGTTTAATTAAGGCAGCATATTGCCAAAGTAAAGGACACAGATGGCTTCTTTTTTATCAATATTTCAGGCAAGCTTCTAACATTCAAAATGCTGTATTCTCATCTAAACAGCAAGCTCCTAATTTTATTCTAAACGTCCATGGTAATTGTTCATTTTTTATTAAAATTTACATGAATAATCAAATTAAACTATTAGGCCACTTGTGAGGTATCTTATGATAAGGAACCTGCACACACACACACACACACACACACACACACACACACACACACACACACACACACACGTGCTCACCACACACAGGTGTGCACAAACACACACAGACATTATAATCAAGTTGAGTAGAGACTGGCACACCTACTAAATGCTTAAAAAAGAAGGGGGAGTTGGTCGGTTAACACTCACCAAAGCAGAAAAGTACCAGCTCTTGGTAGTTGACAAGTGCTTTATCTACGAATGTCTCTTATATCAAAACAAAAAAAAACACACTTTTTTATTATTAAAATTTCCTTATAAAAAAACTACATATACCTGGGATAAAATCTAAAGCTGATCACATTAAACATACAAACATCAGTTCTCACCTTTGCTCTTCCTTCAGTTCCTGTATAATGCTCTGCAAATCTTCAGTGGTAATGGTTTCATTGGGATCATATTTCGCAAAAACTTCTGCACGCTCATACAGAAGTTCTACAAAGTCCTTTTTAGCATCTTCACGTATTTCTTGCTGATGTCTGTCATAGACTTCTTTCCTGTCAGCCTCAGATAAGGAGTCGTAACTTTCACGACCAAGGAAAAAGATTGACACTTCTTGTAATGTTTTCCCTGGTGTAACATGTGGATTGTCTTCTAGAATGTGCTTGAATTGCTTTCGAAGTCTTGAAATAGTAAAGAAAACAGAATTACAAGTCTGCAAAACATCTTTGGCATTCAAAATTTATCTAGATCAACAGACATGAAAAACTGTAATTTTTGGTCTGCAATAGGAAAACCTAAAATTAATAAGAAAGTCTCTCATCCTGTATGCTTAAAATTCATGCATGATACAAGGCAGAGGACATCTGTGGACTATACTTACTCCTGCCTTCTACTTTCAGCCTGGAGTGTATTGACATGGTTTCTAAAGCTAGTCTCAGCCTCTGGGAAACTAAGTAAGGTAAAGGGGACACGCTCGTCTGTGCTGTCTAGGTATTCTGTGTCAGACCAAGACAAATCTTGGTCTAGCATCACAAAATGGTCATTGAAATTTCCGTGCTGCTTGATCAAATTCCTGCAGCTGCCCCATTGCCTGGATGTAGAAATGATAAACATTTAACACACTTTCTTAATAACTATCTAATATCTTTTGCAATTTAAAATGTCAAGTAATGGAATGGAAAAAGCAACATTCAATATGTGGTTTACATGTGTGATGAGTATATTAAGTACTTTACATAAAATATTAATACAATTTATTCTTTCATAAATACCAGGGGAGACTGAAATTCACATACATCTAGCAGTGCTGAGAAAATGTCAACAATTTTTCTAAGAACTCAAGGATTTTTCTGTTCTTTCTAAAACTCATCTTCAAAAGAAAAAAATCACTGAACCATAAAAGATTATTCTTAGAAGGCACTGTTTATTCCTATTAAAAATTAAATGCTACCTACCTATCACCTATTGTTGTAAGATCTGGTAAAAACTCCTTTAACAGATTTGGGATCTGTTTCAAGAACGTGTCTTCCCTCTTCCTGATCAAGTGCTCCTTCAATTGTCTTGTGTGCCTCCTGAAAATGGTTTTTGCACTGTCTGACCCAAAAAATTCCAAAAATCGAATAAAATCGGGATTATCCTGAAACTTTTTGCTTGCGTTACCCCAAAAGGCTTTGTAGTCCAGGACTTGAGATCTTAGTAAATTTAAGTACGCACTCTTGGCTACATCCAGTAGTTCTTTACGGGCTTTCGCAGCCTCTCTAAAGGGCACATGTTTGGGTCGCGCTCTGGTTTTGTCGATCATATGTGCTACAGTTGTAAAGGCTAGTTCGACATTGACATTTTGATGGGCAGAAGTTTCTATAACTGGGATTGATCCTTTGTATTCCTTCCTAGCAACTAATGCCTCGGCCTCTTTGCTGTTGTGGGAGCGAACTTCGTCATTCTTGGTTGTCGCCAAAACGACTGGCTTTTTGGTTTTCATGAGACTGTTAAGAATAAGTGCAACATACTCCACTTGTCTTTCAATAGGTCTTTGTTTTACATCACTGACGTCAAAAACACATACAAATCCATCCACTGTTAGTTTGCCGTCCGGCATCAGAACCCTGTCAAAATCATGCTCCAACCCTGAAAAAATACAAAACAAAATTGCACATTATAATATATCTCTACTGTTTACAGCATATTGCAAATAAATAAACAAAGCACACAAGTTATAGTACCATCATTTCTGATGACACTAACTTAGGATGGGCCTACTTTGGAATTGTAGAATTTACATTTACATTAAATAAATTTACACTTATACTGCCCAGGTCTTTACTTCTAAGACAATTTTTACTATATATAAACAAAACTATTACTATTTTTAACAGAAAAGAATGCTATATCCTGGTGTGTTCTGCACCCATTACTAAGCACAATCCTCCATTTTTTAATCTATTGCATTTGTTCATTAAAAAAATAATAGTAAAACTGAATAAGATTAATATATATTTCAATTGGGCTTTAATGTTGAATGTATACTCTTAACTGGGCCTTCTTTCCAGTTAAGTATTATAGGAATCAAATTATAACCTAACTGTTTGTCCCTGTATTTTCTCCAACTCCATCAATTTGACAACAAAGATGCATGGAAGACAAAGAGCACTACTGCGGTTCTTCCCAACAATAATGCTGATTCATAGAAATGTGTTTCAAACTTGAGATAATCAAACATAAAGCATGCAGAGTAGCTCCGTGGGCTGTTATCAATTGACTTCAAACTGATAAGAACATGTGTTATCACCCTAAACTTTTGTTGATTCATCAAGCTTGGTATTGAACTGTTAGGAACCCCATACTGGTCTGTTATCTAGCTACCAAGAACTGGTGAGTAATGAGGGCCAACACAGAGAAAATTTCTTTTTGTTTAATCAAAAACATATTAAAATTCATTTTTCCAATAACTGTGGGAGAAAAAATCCATCAGCATTATCTGCATGTGATGTCTGTCCATTTTCTGTCAATCTGTCCATCTGTCAGACCGTCTGTCTGTCTGTCCGTCTGTCTGTCTGTCTGTCTGTCTGGGGGTCAGTCATTTTATCAGGATACCTGAGGTTGTGATTTCCTTTACCTTATTAATACAGGTTACTAATGCCCTGACTAGAATGTTCAAAGGTCAAATGACCTATTCATCACATGCATGTATGAACTGAAAACATGTGACACCCCTACAGCAATAAAAACAACAGCATGATGATGAGACAGTGTGGAATATCTTTTTCTACTTAGTAAAGAGGATGGAATGACTCCAGCACCACTGGCAGCATATTGCAATTTTATCCCACTTCATTTATAATTTGATTTAAACGCAATATCTATTAACTCCACAGAAGTTACACCAATGGTTTTCATATTTCATCAAAAAAGAGATAAGAGTGACAACACAAATGGAAATGCACTGCAGTGCATCAGCAATACAATTAAATACAAATATTTTATCACAATACGCTTGCTTAATCCTTAAGTTGATCTATATATGAAAAGACAATCCACAATGCAAAAACAGCAGAAGCCCTGCAAAATTCCAATAAAATATAAACCTAAAGAACAATGGTGGTCTGGCTGTGTTACATTTCCTTCAGCGGGAGTTTTTCCCTTCTGCTATTTTTACTAAAACAGCAACAAAACTGTTTCATCCTATAATGTTACAGTCTAGCAGATTTCTGATGTGAACATCAACAAGGAATGTAAACTTCGGGCTGGTGGCAGATCTTCCAATGAAAACAGTCAAGGCATTTACACCCCTATCACAACATTGAGGAGGTTTTTCAACCATTCCAAGCACATGCACTTTCTTGATACAAAACTAACGGAATGTGGATTTGAAACCTAGGGGTGATACCCTTTAGGATCGAAATATGAAAAGTATGTTTTTTTATGGCAATTAAAATTTGTGTGCACTTTTATGTGATTGCTATAATATTTAGTGTGTGTGTGTGTGTGTGTGTGTGTGTGTGTGTGTGTGTGTGTGTGTGTGTGTGTGTGTGTGTGTGTGTACATGTGTGTGTAAACGTGTATGTACATTGTACATGCAAGTTTTCATGTATTAATGTATATGCTTGGGTGCATGTATGCATGCGTAGGCCCACGTGAATTGCTTGTGTAAGAATTATAACTGTTCTAACATCCCCCAAAGCAACCCTATTATTTCATGGGTTTGCAGAATGACAGCCTTCTGACACATTTTATGGTATGGGAAAACACCTCTTCATAAATGCTCAGGGGTTGCCATGTGATCCCATGATCCAAACTGTGTGTATTTCACATACAGTTGCCACATAATACTATTGAAAGCACCCAACCATACACCAGATCAACACCCCCAGAGAAGTGAAAAGTTGGCAAAAACTTATATAACCACCTGGAGATCATCAGTCATAGCAAAGGGCTGTTATCACAATACACACTATTCAAAGGTGAAAAATAAAAAAGACACTGGGTGAAAGGCAGCTAAGAGACCAGCATAGGGAGATTTAGTATCAGTTAACTTTATATTACCACAGCCAAAGCAATCACCTACATATATTCTTTTTTTTCTAGGCAAAGAGAAAATATAGGAATTTATATGACAGAATGGGCATGTAGTGATTCACTCAAATTGAGTTTTTTTTTTTTTTTTTTTTTTTTTGACAAAACAGATTAACAGATTGTGCTTACTAATTTGACATTTTATACAATATATTATGAAGTAACTATTTGTGTTTCAACCCTAATTAGGAATTTGATCAAGAGTATCTTGGGCATCCTTTCACTGACCTTCCAATAAATAACAACCCTAATACATTCAATGCATAGGGCCGAACTGTTAACAAAATCTGAAGCCACCCTTACAAAATCACACTCTTCTACCTTCACATAAAAGCGAATTGCAAACTATTTAATTTGTGCAGCTAGGGCGGGATATTCTCTGCGAAGGATGAAATCAGTTAAAGAGACGATTACTTCAAAGTTAAAGCACTCCACCCATAGTTTGCTATGCTGAGTAACAGCTGTGGGTAAAAACTACTTCTAATAGACTTTCTTTTCTGTTTCCTTAAACCACGTCAACTCAAATCTGACTTCCTTGATTTGTTATATATATATAATAAGTGTATACATGGAGGCGTAGCCAGGCACATGCCCACACAAACATGCATCCACTTCCTTTTTTCTTTGTCAAATTTACATGAAGAGAAATATGTGCACATGTAAATGTTTCGATAAACCCCACTCCATTGTTAGTGATGCCAGTGAAAAAAATAGTACAAAATGATGCCCAAACTAAAGAGTCAATTAATCAAAGTTGCTGTCTTGAAGATTATTAATTTTGATAAAAGTGAATAAGCACCACATAAATACCTACCTAGCTGATTTTTACAAATGTACATCAACTTTTCTGCAGAAGTAACCTTGGTAGCTGCACACCTCTTGTAATATGGGTCTGTTTTGCCACCTTTAAAAGGTTGAAAAGAGGAATCATCGATGAACTCTGTCTGTTCTATGACATTAAACGTCAAATCAGAGCCATCGTCAGCCATTTTGGTCACCTCGCCCCAGTATAAGAAGTGGTCATTGTTGACAACACATCCACCAAAGTCACTTTGGCTTAGCATCGAGATATGGTCAGTGTAGAAATCATCCGCGAGAGGGCGCACAAAGCGATTACAGAGACAGGACTTGCCCACTCCCACATCTCCCTTTTCCTTCTCCGTCCCAGACAGCCCCACCACGCTGATATTAAAGGTGCGATTGTGCTCAGCTTTCTTGGCCATGTTTAGTCCTTCTGAAACGTGTTGTTAGATGGACTCTACTTGGATTGATAGATAGGTTCCCAGTTTCTCTTCCACTACTACTGCTGCTCACCCCACGCACTCTATCTGCGCACCAGTCTGGTGTGACCAGCCATGTTCAAGTCAAAGCGCTGAAATTAGAAATCAATACCATTTTAATCTCCTTTTCCAGCTTTTGCAGGACTGTTTCAGGATTGGGAAATGTCTATTCAGGGGTATGTTCTACTGATATGCAGCCAGAAATAGTTTTAATCTAGCCCTATATCAAGCAGAGTCATCCTGAACCAGAGCAGAGCAAATTGAGGGAAAATGTTTGGCTCATGTAAGCACAGCATGATTTCATGATCGTACTTTTTCACCTTTTGCTGTTTAGAGGCCCATGACATTAATGTATAGGCCGAAACATGGATTATCCAACACTCAGTCACATACAGTCACCCTGAACCAGAAAAGTAATTTCAGAAGTAAAACAACACTGGACATTGTATAGTTCTAAATACAACATTATGGGAAACACTACTGGAGGCCAGTTACAAACTGTGAAATATAGATTGATAAATGTCATGGTTATCCCCAACTATCTCTATACAGTAAGATGATCAATAACATAAGAATCTCAAATTTTCTGACAGAATTCTATTTTATCAGTTCTGTTTCATATAGAAAACTTAAGGGAGAATGGAAGTCAATAGCATGTAAAAATGATATTGATCAAATGACTTTTTATGTTATATTCAAACATTTTTACTGTTAAGAACCAAAAGCAAAAAAAGTTTTAATGTTGGTCATTTCTGAAAAAAAGTTCTTAAAAATATTCACTGATAATAAATGTTTGCATGTGCAGTTTTTCATTTTCACTGTATACTTTAATAAGGATTCATTTTCTACCAGAAATCAGAAAACAAGATTCCAAATGGAAAAATATTAACAAGAAAACATAACCTCTTGATTACAGTGAAAGATGCCTTTACTCAATTTTCACAACTTACCTGGATCATGAGGCGTTCTTGAAACAAATGATCATTTTTTCCTGCGATAATTAATTTTGTTGTCTGGAGCAGTCTAGTCAGGATGACAGAAGGACTCGAAGAGACCACAAATCTCCAATAGCATCACATACCACACAGTTCTGAAAAGAATGTGGAACAATTATCAAAATATGAAAGGAGTTAACAAACACACAACATGTTGGTGTTCCACAACCAAAATTGGTGCAGGGTTACACTGAAAACTGGTTCTTAGAAGGAGACAGAAATTCTTTTCCCTTGCCAATAGTGTTTGCTTCTGCTTTTGCACATCTAACTTGATCAGTCATCCCAAAGTATAAATCTATATAATTCATCAATTTCAATAATTTGTGCACTTGAATCTGCCCAGCAGATCTTATAAATAATGAAACTGGCAATGTGACAAGCCTGAGTCATGATACTGGATTCAACAATAATCACAAACACTTCCTGACAATAACTTACAGCAACCGACTACCCACTCCACTTTATTTATCACTTATGCACAACAGCCATTAAAAAATGATTATATGGAAAACCAGTCTTTCAATGAATCCTTGTCATTATATCTTTTATGTCATATGTTCAATGATATACCAATAACTTACACACACAATTTAAAATATTGATCTTAGGGATTTTTGTTACAGATTAACTTTATACTGCAACAGAATGATTGTTGTTTTGCTTTGTGTATATGTGCATACATGTGTGTTTGTGTGCGTTTTTTTACTGGTTAGGTAGAGGAGGAGGTAAAAAAAAAAGATAAGGACAAAACTCTTAGGAAGTCTTACAAAGCAATTAAGAAAAAGTGAAACACAAAACACTGTTGTGCAATAAACTGTTATTTAACAAGACTTGGAATGAAAAAACAACCAGAAAAATATCCACAGTAAATTGTCAACTTTTAATTGTTCACTGCACTCACTGATATGGACCTACTCTCCTTCATATTCCATGAAATCGCACTTGATGTTAAATTATGAGAATTTTGGCAGTCTCAAATGATCCCCATTGCAAAAGCATGTGTGCAACATTTTTTGTTGTTCTTGCTGTGTGTGTGTTGAGGTGGTGGTGGTGGTGGGGGGGGGGGGGGGGGTGATGTTATTGTCCATTAACAAATNACGGAACGATCCGGACGGGACCGAAACCATGTGTACCGCCAGCGCTAACGCTGGCGGTACAATGATATTGATCAAATGACTTTTTATGTTATATTCAAACATTTTTACTGTTAAGAACCAAAAGCAAAAAAGTTTTAATGTTGGTCATTTCTGAAAAAAGTTCTTACAAATATTCACTGATGTTTGCACTTGCGGTTTTTCATTTTCACTGTATACTTTAATAAGGATTCATTTTCTACCAGAAATCAGAAATCAAGATTCCAAATGGAAAAATATTAATAAGAAGACATAACCTCTTGATTTCAGTGAAAGATGCCTTTACTTAATTTTCACATCTTACCTGGATCATGAGGCGGTCTTGAAACAAATGATCATTTTTTCCTGTGATAATTAATTTTGTTGTCTGGAGCAGTCTAGTCAGGATGACAGAAGGACTCAAAGAGACCACAAATCTCCGATAGCATCACATACCACGCATTGAGTTCTGAAAATAATGTGGAACAATTATCAAAATGTGAAAGGAGTTAACAAACACACAACATGTTGGTGTTCCACAACCAAAATTGGTGCAGGGTTACACTGAAAAATTAATGGTTCTTAGAAGGAGACAGAAATTCTTTTCCCTTGCCAATAGTGTTTGCTTCTGCTTTTGCACATCTATATAACTTGATCAGTCATCCCAAAGTATAAATCTATATAATTCATCAATTTCAATAATTTGTGCACTTGAATCTGCCCAGCAGATCTTATAAATAATGAAACTGGCAATGTGACAAGCCTGAGTCATGATACTGGATTCAACAATAATCACAAACACTTCCTGACAATAACTTACAGCAACCGACTACCCACTCCACTTTATTTATCACTTATGCACAATAGCCATTAAAAAATGATTATATGGAAAACCAGTCTTTCAATGAATCCTTGTCATTATATCTTTTATGTCATACGTTCAATGATATACCTATAACTTACATACACAATTTAAAATATTGATCTTAGGGATTTTTGTTACAGATCAACTTTAAACTGCAACAGAATGATTGTTGTTTTGCTTTGTGTTTATGTGTATACATGTGTGTGTATTTGTGTGTTTTTTTTTACAGGTTAGGTAGAGGAGGAGGTAAAAAAAAAAAGATAAGTACAAAACTCTTAGGAAGTCTTACAAAGCAATTAAGAAAAAGTGAAACACAAAGCATGGTTTACTTTTACTGTTGTGCAATAAACTGTTATTTAACAAGACTTGGAATGAAAAAACAACCAGAAAAATATCCACAGTAAATTGTCAACTTTTAATTGTTCACTGCACTCACTGATATGGACCTACTCTCCTTCATATTCCATGAAATCGCACTTGATGTTAAATTATGAGAATTTTGGCAGTCTCAAATGATTCCCATTGCAAAAGCATGTGTGCCACATTTTTGTTGTTCTTGTTGTGTGTGTGTTGAGGTGGTGGTGGTGGTGGGGGGGGAGGGGGGGTGATGTTATTGTCCATTAACAAACGGTCCTTGTGCTTTAAGTGCCCTTTTTACCCATAAAAAGCACCTACTTAGAGGCAGGACAAATTTTAGCCCAAACCTCACAACATGTTCCCCACAAATGATTTTTTTGTACTGAACAACTGTAATTGCATACTTCCTTAAAAAGACAAGATGCCCAACTCTCAAACGCCCCCACAGTGCACGCCATCCTGTACTAGAGTAAAGATTAACTTGCCAAAGCAGGAACTAAACTGTTATTTAGATTTTTTTCATATGAAGGGCCTTAAGCTTATCAACAGTATAACTGATTCACAATTCTTTCAGTCGCCTTGTTATTTAAAGGGCTTGGTGAATTTCCAGATACAAAAGTGTAATTAAAAAATATATTTGAATGATAACTTGATTATGAGCTCGAAAAAATGCCAAAGGTATTAACTTTAATCTTGCTAACTTCTAAATATAAACAGTCTACAAGCTAGCTGAACGTGAGTACTCCAACATTTATTAAGGTGGTAAACCATGCCCTGTAACCATTGTGATGAATCAAAAAAATATTACATGTCATTACTGGTCAAGCAACATCATGTGGTATAAATGTCAAGATGCTCATATGTCCACTATTATCTCTGAAACTGCCTCTAAGCCACAACTTTAACCCACCTGCAGCAAAAACTCTGGGGTGAATTCTCTTATCTCACTCATGTTTTCTTGAACCTAACATGGTGATTCATTCCAAGGTTTTTCACTTTCTTCTTAACACTTCTTCACTTTATGAATATCAATCCTCATCGTGTATCACAGTGAAACAAGCCAAATGCTAACAGCCCAGTTTCTGGTCTGAGATAGGAATGTAGGCCAAGGAATGTCCTGGTTTATCAGCTGTTACCACCCTGACTGACACAACATTGGCACCGACTCTCCTCTATCAGTAAGAGAAGTTGAAATTATCAGCTATCAGCTACTTGAGTTTCTGGCAGTAACGAAAGTCAACTCAAATATCTGTATATGTACTATCTTCAGTCCAGCTTTTTTTTTTTCACTTTCACACATGAAATACAAAAGGTTGCCTTTTCTTTTATAAAATACAGAATCAAAAGTGACCAAGAGACAAATGCAAAAGATGTACAGAAGTCTATAAAAGAAAAGAAATGACCTTGACCTTGTCTCTCAACTATTCCCACCCTGAGTGTCCCACTAATACTTACTGCCCTCTATCAGACATTTGATATTGTTGATATATATTTCTTTAGCAGTTGTAAACAGGGACAGGCATACCAAGCTGACCTACACTTATGAATTATTTCCTCCGTCACTTCCCCATTCCTGTGGCACAGCATTAATGACTGCATTTCTGGACTACAATACTATAAAAGCTTTTTTTAACACAGTAACTCACAGGATCTAGTCTAAATGAAGGTAAACATTCATTATACATGCGGGCTGAATCACTTCCTATTCCATGGACTGTTTTTAATAAAATTGCAATTATCTTGTCATTGTCCCATTATAATGTTCTACCCAATATCAATCATTATCAACTATAACCATATGTATTTTCTTGGAGGTCCACCGACTTCCTGGATTTTAGAATAAGCCTGATATTAAAGACAATGGATTCAGTAATATATCCATTTAACACTCTTGTATCCAATATTCACAAACATATATGGTATAACAATTATATTATCTCACAGTGTGGACATCAATGTCACTGAAACTTCATTTAACATATGGTGTGAAAACTTAATAAAAAACTGACTTCTCATGTACTAAGATATTCACAGAAGCAAGTTTTTAAAAACTCACAAGAAAATTGCTTACCCTTTTCAGATTTACTAGTGTCCCCCTATCTTGTAATATTGAACTATCTTGTCTAAGGTCTGAAAAGACAAAAACACTGTGATCACTTTCAATGACACTGACATAAGATATGCTTCAATAACAGTAAACAAGATACAAGTTTTCTGGGGCATCAAACATATGAAAGAATTTTAAGTAGGGCATTCAAAACATAATTAAATCCACATGGTATCACATCCTTGAAGTCAAGCAGCCAAAGAGCATATCATAATCAAAACTTATTCAAACATCCAGCATATAAAACCGGCCGGACAATTATAGTCATGACTAATAGTAGGAGGGCCTTGAGGAAAATTCCCCTCCATCTAAATATGTCTGATCTACAAGAAAACATGACATTCCAATAGAAAAGAAAACTTGTCATATATTTTCCAAATAATATGGCATGTAGTCTTAACATATAGTGTGCTGGCAGGGACTATACAGCTTCTATGTAGGCGGGGGAAGTGCAAGCAAACTTTGAAGGTTCACTGCACTTTTGTATTAATGACACATGCCACTGCACTGCACGGATTATTTTTTTATAGAAAGTTTGAAATCTATTCAGCCCTGCCTGAAACATTTCAGACAGACTTCAAAATATTTCTATCAAATCACATTTTAAGGGCAAAGAAAAAACAGAGTGAAATCTGGATTATTCATAGGGTTGTGCATTTGCAAGTTAGTTCAATAGCTCGCAGCAACAGTCACTACTCCCCCAACTTCACTACTTACACAAGCAAAATGAATGGTTTATTCATTAACATTATGTCTAATAAATGAATGACAAATAACTGTCATTTTGATAACTATCAGACTATTAATACCAGATAAGCTGATAATTTGTCTACAACTTGCCAACTCTCCCACCTGTCTCCTGTTAATTTTGGACATAGGATGACCTCTGGTCAGACTACTGATTATAGACTAACCAAACATAATGAGACTGACCCCTGAAGTCAGTTAGATATATGGGGATGATGACCCTTGTTAATGTATAGACAGATAACAGTTATCACTGCTATGAGATACAGAGCTCTCTTGTGTACACTGTGTAAACACAGGCTGTGAAATAATGGATCATCAATGTAGCAAAAGATATGAAAAACCTGTATAATTTTGGATAATAAATCTGAATCTTCTGTTGCATAGGGAGCAAAATATTGATACAAAATTACAGGTTTTTAAGTGTGTGTGTGTATGAATGTGTGTGTGTATGTATGTATGTATGTGTTTGATTCCGTGTCTTCCCCTTCCAAAATGCCTTATGTCAACTTCACTTTTCTTACATTCAAAACACTATACACATCTCATCTCATTTTCTGTATCACTCTAGTATACACACNCAGGTTTTTAAGTGTGTGTGTGTATGAATGTGTGTGTGTGTGTATGTATGTATGTGTTTGATTGCGTGTCTTCCCCTTCCAAAATGCCTTACGTCAACTTCACTTTTCTTACATTCAAAACACTATACACATCTCATCTCATTTTCTGTATCACTATAGTATACATATATATATAAACTTTGCTTGGGAAATAAAAAAATTCATTGCAATCTTCTTCCATTATGTACCTCTATACAAAACCTCTACTTTCCAAGTATTTCATCCTAGCACTAAATCAGTGCAAGTGTTGTTAACAAGCATTAAAAATGCCACATAATGGTATTGAACTTCCAAACATTTTGGTACAAAAATTATGAACTATACAATTTGCCTCTTAAAGTATGATGTACATGCATTATCTACCAGACTAGACAGACTTAAATAATGACCTTTGCTAAGATGCAGGCATTTGTTCTTTCAACCACCAGATATTGACACTTCCAACATAGACTTGGCATAATATATAATCCCATCATTTATTAAGATACGTTATCTTAACCTTGAACTGTATGGTTAAAGTTCAAACATTAAAAGGGGAACTTCCAAGAAAATCTTCAATTCCTTTGGTGACGTCACATGGGATGGTCACAGCTTAAATAAAATCTAACGCGGAAAACTGTATCACACAGCCGTGGTGAGGACAGATGCACAATTAAATAACATCATGTAGTAGACATATTTGGGCCGCTTTCTTCCGCACTTGTGTATATGCGTGCCCAAACGTGTTAGTGAAATATTTCAGCACAAATGCATTATTAGCACTACTTTCCTCCTTAGTCGCAAGCACGAATGCATGTATTCAAGTGCATTAAAGTGCATGATCCCCCTAGATAAAAAAGAACATCTAATAATACCAACTCCTTAGGGCCAGAGACGCCTCATGAACCTAATAGCAACTTGGACAGTGGCCAGGCTTCCTGACATCTGGGTCCATTTCTTCCAGACAGCTTGACCACTCCTGGAACTGACCCAAACCAACTGATCCAGTTACATACACCTCACCTGGTCAAGTCCTATTAGACTCACCTGGTCACAAGATGCTGGACAGCTTTACAACTGGACTGTTATAACTGGAAAGGTCCATTAAGCTACATAAACAGGACACCCATCCCCATTTCCTTACTCCCTGCCATCAAATGTGAAATGCTCGTGATGCAATCATCATAAATATAATCCGATGATTGCCGTGTTTTGATTATTTTGAGGACGTTAAAGATGTATGTTGCACCTGACTAACACCAGATAGCTATGTTTAGAGGATAGACAGGAAATTGAAGATGTTATGAATGAACAATAATTTTAATCATGTTGCTGGTTTTCTTTCTTTTCTTTTTTTTTTTATTTCTTTATTTCTTGGGTTGGAAGGTTCAAAATACGAAGAGAGGAGGGAAGCCACTTCCTTTGCCTGTTATCGAAAAACAATTTAATGACCCATTTTAGGGAAGACCAGAAATACCATCATGCACGGCAGATTGCAGTCCTTTTCTGTCACCTCCATCTTCGTAAAGAAACTGCTGGGACACTTATAGGATACCTCCGTATCATATTAAGCAACTTCACCTGTATAACTCTGCAGCTTCAAGTCATCTTTCTACTGAACCAGCACAACCTAAGTAAATATTCAATACATGTGCTTCTTCAATAGGATGGTTAGAATAATGTGCTAGGCATGTGGGTGATGGTTATTTGAGTCCCTATGTTGAGAGATTAAAAGCAGAATTCAGTGTAAATTATATAGGGACTCTACGCTTAAAGGAAATGGGATTGAAACTCATTCAAGATTGCATAAATTGCATAATGTACACGTTTCTGACTATTGATTATCTTTCTTTAACTGTCAGAAGCTATTTTATTGTAAACAACATAATAAACAACACATCTATGCATCCTGTAACAATAATGTTGGAAGCACTGGAGAAAAACCCTGGTCATAAATATTTGCGTAAATCTACTGACCACTTCACTATAAACAGCAGATAAACACAGTGCACTGTTGTTGCAAATAGACAGTTACCACAAGAAGTGTTGTTAAAAATAACAGGTTAACATACAGGTAAATATCACCTTTACTTAAGCATGTGACCATCATAGCAATTATCAAGACTACACTAAGTATACCCTTCTTTTTACGACCTCTCCCTGCCCCTCCTTCTGTATATATTCTATTTGCTCATTGTAATGCATACAATGTGTTCTATGGTAATAGCATGGGGGAGGGGGGGGGTACAAAAGGCCTGAATGATGAGTATAAATATGGAGGACAGACATCCAGTCCCCAACTTAAATAATTTGCTGCAGTTTCAACCTTGTCATTAAATTCACATTACTAATTCTAATGTAAACTTAACTGGAGACCAAATCATTGACAGGTACAGGCTTACATGTTCCAACACAATATAAGCATTTAAGTTTTAAGAAACTATTTAATTAATCTAGAAACTTCTGATTCCCTCTATACTTAGAGGAGATACTCAAGCATATTAATCTTTTTTAAGTTCAAAGCAACACAGAATTTCAGCACATATCATGTCTCACTATACAAAAATACACAAACTGCAAGGGGGGCAATCATATATATATGATATAACCCATATCATATTAGGTGACAAAGAATAAATTCCTGATGCAAGCTATATAGATTTTAAGATTCATTGATGGTGCGATCTTTTATGTTCCTCAGAAACACAGGTCACTGCCCTGTTATATAGCAGCATTAACTATGTATCACCACAACAATATGATATGCTTCACTGCCCTGGCGTTAAGAGTATGGACTTTAAAAGAGACAGTGCACCTTATACATGGCAAAACATGTTACCAGTACTAGTATTCACAAGTTGCCATTAGACTCCCTGAGCCACCATACATACATACATTCATTCATTCATGTGTTGCGTTATAATTTAAAGATGATGTGCAGACTATAGTACAGTACGGCACATGTTATTAGGCTCTCCTCTAAATACATAACACATGTACTTACGTTTAAGCCACTGAATTCCAAAACACAAGAGAGCATACAGCATGAAAATGTATTCATATAATAATAGGCAGACCCATGCTAGATCTCCTGACTGACTCAGCCCAGCCTCTGCCTCGGCCTCCACTGCCACCACCTCTTACTGCACGATTCTTCATCAAAGCGAGGGGTCAAGTCCTTGTATTCCTTGCCGTATAAACTATCTTTAGAGGGGAGATAACAATTGCTGATGACTGAGAGCACACCAGGCTGTTCAAAACTAGGTCAGACTGCGTTGATTTCCTGTGTTGATTTCCACCCACCCTTCTCAGGCTCGACTCTGCCTGCCTGTATTGCAATCAATGGGTCAACTGGGACCACTTGCCTTGACTGTAAATTAATTTCTCAGCAGGTGCAATACTGGGTTGTCAGTCAAAGATAAAGTCCAATGGAGGGGGACTGGTCATATTTATGTAAGGACTCCAGTAGACCTCACGGCTTTTCTGACAGTCAATGAAAAGTACAAAAGAGGAAGACAAAACTGACTTAAATCCTGGCTGTCTGTAATATTGAATGGCTTAGTCACTATGCCGAATGGTTATTATGAAAACGCAATACTTCTGCTGAGTTTACCATTCACTCGAAACAACGTTGAAATAAAATTGGTTCCAACTTGAACAATAATATATTGCATTCAATTTCTTCTTCTTATTTATTTTCTTTTTTCAGATAGTTCTGATAAAATATGACAAGTTCATTGGGTCTTCATTACATCACAATCCCATAACCCAGCAGTAATTTTGTGGGGTGAGAACACCCCACGCCTACTCTCTAATAATGTCACACAGAAGGCTTGACAGGTCTACTATTTGGCGGTGGTTGTACAAAGAGTAAGGTTACATGAATATTGCAAGTAGTGAGCCACTAGTCCCCAGTGCTTCCTGTTGATAACCGAGTACACAAAAACATCAAACCCAGCTGGCCTGGTTTCAATTCTAGCCACTCTGTGACAGTGCTACTGAAGATTTTCTTTTTCTTCTGAAAAAAATGTCTTCTATGTCATCAAACTATCTGGCTATCACCTCTCACCCTCCTCTCTTTTTCTCTCTCTCTTTCTCTCTCTCATATTAATGTATAGCAAGTTGTAACAAAAACTGACCTTCTTGGTATCAAGAATGTATTGGTTCGTTCATTAATTCATACATTAGTGAAACTAATAGTAACGAATGAAACTGAACTAACTGAAATATGCTTATATAGGGCCTGTATGTACTGAGATGAAATTTTAGAAATATCTAGGTCTGACTTACAGGTAACTTGTAGTTACTTTTTTAACAAATTATAATAAAATTAAATAAAAATAGTGCAACAAGTTCATTTTTCAAGTTTAATTAAAATAGTACTATTCAGCTCAAGCCTAGGTTACATTTTTTGTTCACCATGTGCATGTAATCTGAATCAGAATGACTGCAAAATTAGTCATATAAAAATTACAGCAAGGCATACAAGCACAGCGGAGCTATGTACACAGAAAAATGCAATCCCAATATTAACACTGTCATCCCTTCTGCAAATTATTTCTGGCACACTTCATCAATTATGTATTTTGGTCTTTTAAGGCATACATCATAACTTTACATTCCCCTAGGGAACCACCACTAGCTGTGGACTTTGTGAGTAATCTCTGGACTATATTACCCTATATAGTGGTGGTTTCTATATAGATCTCTGTGTAGCTCGATCTGTGGAAGAATCACTTGGACTGAGATAACATAATTGATCTCCTTTGAGTTGCTTGTCTATTGGTCAAATCAGGATCTATGAAATACTCAATGCATGACATTATTGGAGACAATGACAGTTGATTAAGTTGCGGTATTATGTATGATTACAAATACATATGCGTTACATATTTCAAAGTACTCACAGCATGTCTTCTAAACATTAATTTCAGAGACTTGAATTTCACAAAACTGTGAGAAATCACTATAAATACATATATTTTGTAGACTAAAAAAGGATTCAAAGTAAGTAAAGGTGTGAAGGCCCCATGAATATCCCCAATTGTAAGTCTCTCAATCCCTAAAGTTTCAAGTTCCTCAATTAAATGGTCCAGGAGAAGATAATAAAAAAATACAATGTGAAGAAATAGAAGCGCCCCCAAGGGCAGCCCAACCCTCAGTTGCAAAAAAAAAAAAAAAATCTAAGGCCCTATTATAGCTATACATATCCCTGATGTTAGTTCTATCAATCCCTTTAGTTTTAAGTTCCTCTATCTAATGATCTAGGAAGAGGTCTGAGATAGCAGAAATAACAAATACATATATATATATATACACATATGAATGGAGGGTAAGTGGGATAACTTTTGTCAAATAGGTGTAAGAATAACTAGATAATTAAGTAGAATTCAGCATAAGGCGAATAAGTCATAAATCTGTTGATAATAAGTGGCGTTTCCAAGAATAATTACTTAAATATTCAATCTCCTTGATAACGATAGGCTAGATTACAGACCAAGTCATAATTTAAAACTAAAATGTGTACAGATCTGAAACAAACAAACATATCCCTGCCTTCCTCAACAGTGGTAAATTTTCAAGATCTGGATATTCATCATCTGCATGTTTAATAATTAATAGCTATATAATCTTATCTAAGCTTACCAGGTACATAAGATAATACACATACTCATTTACAAAAAAAAAAAAAAAATGTGTCTGGAGCAAATTGGTCAAGAGTGTTGAATGCAATTTCAATCCATCTCAGTAGTGCATCCTTCTTATCAAGCTTACAACAGCAGTTTCCCTGTAAAAAACACAAGTCTGGCTTTCAACACAAGTTATACCACATTCACACTAGCACTTTTAACCGCGGTCAAGGCCTGACCTCGGTCCTATCGCAGTTAACTTTTCTTATGTGAACGAACGACGTAGCCCTGACCGCAGTCAAAATAAACCCAGATCGTGAAGTGGGTATAATCAGAGTAAACTCCTGACCGCGGTCAAGACCGGATGTCTACATGTGAAGCGCATGCGCACAAGTGTATCGTCATTTGAGCTCCCGCCATGTTTCACAGATTCTAGTAAAAGCGCATGCTTGACAGGAAGTACGCTTGCTGAGATTCTACCGCTACTGATCGCTACCGGTGTCAGTGTGAACGCGGTTTGGTTGACAGCGGTTTAATCGGAGTAAACTCGACTGCGGTTAACATTCTAATGTGAATAGCCTATTTAAGAAAAAATAGCGATACATCTGCCTAAAACATGACTGCAAACTTCTATCAGCCCAATGTGGGTCACTGTGATCATGTGTACCTCTTCTCCACTGTTCACTTTTTTAACATGGAATCTGCTACTCTCTTTTGGTTTGACTCATACTTATAAAGCAAATTTTTCATCCAGTGTTAAAGATAATTAGCAGGTGATTTTTTCTTTTCTGACATTTTTCGGGGATATGGTAAAAATAATACAATATGGTAAGAACTGTTTTCTAAAGAACCAGGCTTAGTATTCTATCTGGTCAACAGAGACCTTATCAATATAAATACTGCCATTAACCACTGAATTCATTTCCAAATATGAAGAATTGCATAAAATTAACAATTTGAAACAGTAAATTTTTAATAAGTGGTAATAATGCTACTATCACTTTATCATAATCAGATGATTTATCATTGATCACCACATAAACTTCTTATGAAAATTAATGAGGTAAATGAAAAAATGTATTACCCAGGATTTAGGTGTTTTTTTTTTTGTTTTGTTTTGTTTTGTTTTTGTTTTTTCACACTGAAGTATTCATGCACAGATGCAAATACAGAAATACCTACAACCTATATTCTCTTAAGAATGATCAGCCCGAGCTGTTCAGTGCACCAAGTTTCACACAATCCTCCCTACGGGTCAGGAATTTAGGGTTCTCAATAACAAGGAGTGGTGACCCAAGTAGCACCTTTCTTCCTGTAACAGTAGCTGATAAACTATCAGAATTACATCTCATCAACTGAGCTACCCATAGATGTACTAGGTGAACTAGAACCAAGTCATGTCTCCAGTCAAGTTGGATTAATATTGGTACTTGGTACGTCCTAACTAAGATAGTAATTTGAGGCTAATCATTATTTGAGGTCAATCTTACAGCTTGTACCTTTCCTACAAATATAATGGGCCAAGCAAAATGACACGATGATTTCCTATCCACCCCCTCTTGGTTAACTGACTATAATCAGGCATCTTGTAATAAACAGACTTGAGATAACATGATCCACCTTGATAACTGTACCTTTTGTCTATTGTCTTATACATTAAAACTTGGCATACAATTAATATATAAACCATGATGCTTGATCAATATTAGAAATTCCTGGTTCATGGTTTTTCAACTAAGCCATATAAAACCCCCTTTTCCCCACAAACCAAAATCAATCTAGAATCTAGTTCATAAAATCAAGTTTTTTTTACATATGATGAAATACTACTCATACATACCTCATTAGACTGCTACTTATAAAAAATCAAACAATCAGATGAACCAATGTTTGAATTATTGGAAATATGGTACTGATAACATCTTATGTCAGAAAATTACAAGCAAAACTGAAATGTGTAGTCAAAAAAAAATATGAGTCATCTTCTTAGAAGAAAATTATTCCTGATGCTTTTTTTCACTTTAAAAAAACAATGCTTACATAACTTCCAAGTAACAAAATAAGTCTTGAAATAGAAACATTTAGAACAAACAAGACATATCAAATACTTCCTAACAAAGGGAACAGTCTGACATAATACTTTGTTCCACCCACATTCATAAAATCCCATTAGAAATTTAATATTTTGAACAATTTCAAATTTCAAACAGAACGTAATCTAGCTACTCAAATTCTTCTATGATAGCAACAAGCTAAGTAAAAAATAGGTAAACAATTAATGAGGAGAAGTTTCTTGCCATTCTGTCAGACACAAGTTTACTAGGACCCAGGTACCAGCCTAGCAGTAGTCCACCTCTGCGCAGGTATGCTCCATTTACTAAGGTGGTGTTAGATTAAAGAACATCTTATTAAACATTATATCAATCTGTGAAAATTGTAAAGAATGACAGAGTCCAATTTCTTGATGATAATTTGTAGTCAATAGTTGAACTTTCTTTTTCTGTTTTTTTTTCCAATTTTACAGCCTAAGGTTATTTTGAGTTTATAACACAGTATCACATGAATATGCGCAAGAGCATTAAAGTACATCACTCTCTGTATATTCTTTAGTGTGGGTACAACACATGTTTGAAACTCAACACTTTCTTTTTTTGTGTGTGAATGTGCCATTCTTTAAATAGGCTGCTTTTAGAAACAAAAGGTTTCAAATGATTTTTTAAAAAATTACATTTTTAGTTAGGAAAAAAAATACAGTATCAAATTAAAAGTTCCCATTCAGCAGACCCACAAATTTCTTCACGCATTCAGTTTAAATTGAGCAATTTAAATGAGATATAAAGCTACATAACTCTTTATCATGAATCACGCCCTAAATATATTTCAGCTTTATCAGTGATAATAGATTCCAATCGATATTCTGAGAT